GATTATCAGCTAATTTGAAGGATATCATCTCAATAATCTGCAACGTGGTCAAATCCTCAGTTTCATCGCTGGATATTGTACAGTGGCGTACACTTGCTTTTTCGAAAGCAGTTTTAACCCCTTCCTCAGCTGTGGTGTTATCAACGAAAAATATGATTTTTTTATTCGCATCCAACTCAGCACGCTGTATTGCTTTAGCTATCAGTATGACACTTTTACCCGTTCCTGCGGGCCCATTGATAAGAACTAAGCGTTCCTCTAAATTGTATGCTTCAAACTGCTTCTTAGTGAGGTTGTTCACTCCTAAGTACTCCTTAATGACGTCTGGGGCTGGAATAACGTTTGGATTATTTTTCCTGAACGTAAAATTTCCATTGCGCAGTTTATCATCAATATCCTGTATACACCATCCCAAACTGCACTTGGATTTATGACAGTAGCCCTTATTATCCGTGCACCAAATAGCAAGCAGCATGTTCCTGACTTTATCATGTTTTGCTTGAAAGTCAGACATCAATGCTTCTTCTGCATTGTGCATGTGAAAATCTGTAACATTGCCTTTCCACCAAGATGCAAAATCTTCTGTATCTTCTTTGAATATAACCGATGATAGCTGATCAGGCTCCAAGGTAAGTTCTGCACTGGATCCCTTCGTGAAGTTAGGATAAGCTGTAAAGTGAGAGATATTTATGCTGTTCTCAATGCTTCTGATCAATTTCACCATTCTTTCCCTCTGTTTTTCTGATATCTTGTATGATCCCTGCAATCTTAACTTATGCTGTTGTTCATCTAATTCAGGATTTTGCTGTTTTGCTTCACTAAAACTTGTCCAATTCTTCACTTCAATGATCACAAAATAGTTCTTTCCTATGATCACAAAATCGCACTCCCCCTCATGATTCTTTGGTGTTTTGCAATCCTTACACCCTTTTCTAACATGACTTTTATCGCACAAACGATATTGATGATGTGTATAATCGAAACTGTGTAGAACGTTTATACCTTCATCTTGTAGCTCCTCCAGTGCTCTATAAACTACAACTTCGGTCTCATAGTCTAACTGATGTTTTTTATCGTTTTTAAAACTGGGACCAGGCTCATCTTCATCTGGGTATACGTCAATATACGTGTGTTGTGGAGCTTTAGGCAGCATGTTTGGGCGTGTTTCTGTTGACGTACAATACGTATCGTAGATATCTTTCCCGTTCTTGAGATATTCCTCCATTTTGAGATCTCTGAAATAATTGTGTACCTTTATTTCTTTATTCAAGTTTCGAAACTTTGACAATGATATAGCAATATATGAAATTTTATGACACAAGGCTGAAACGAAATACGTGCGTGCGGTCGTTAGTTGAGGTACGAAAAAAACTGAAATGATGCATGATTCAACTGTAAAATTTCCACATCTAAAGTCTAAACAACTGCAGCAACAAAGTCAAATCAACAACATACCGAGTGTAGATCGTAAATGATAGAAGACAGAGAAGTCCAGTATATACTAAACACAAAGAGAAAACGCTATGTCCACAGTATAATATAGATTGTGTTTCATGAGGTTATGATATTATGATATATAATCTAATTATATTATGCTTCCTAGATGCTAGGGTAAGTTAAAATATTCAATATTTGATATTCAATCAGGAGGTTGAGTTTAGTTATTCTTCGTAAATGTGAAAGGAAATACGTATGAATAATGGTTACTAGTTAGGAATGGAAACAGCTGTATATTATGAAATGTGTGATCACGTGATACTGATACAAGACTATGTTTTATCCTTTCTAGTTTAAACAACTGGACTACAAGTTAAATCTGGGAGTTTTATGGACTATAATATTAGTTATGTATATTTGAAACAGTCGAGTAAAATATTTGATTGTCTGACGTCTGTCTTGCTTTATTAGAGCCATATTTTACAGTGGAAATATTGGTCATGTCTGTGATTTTGAGCCTCGTTAAGAATGTTAAGAATGTCAATAAACACAGATCGAACAATCTGTCTCCTCCATTTGAAGAAGATTCTACATATTTTTTATCTTGATTCTATATTGTCTCACCCTGTGTGTAATTTATAATAAATTTACGCGGAAGTTTGGGATTTAGGTAAAATATCTAAAATAAGCAGAAGCTTGGTATTTAAAAAATAAAACTTCTAACATATAAACTATTCAGGAATGTGGGATTAAAAAATAAAACATCTAAAATATGCAGGAGTGTGGGAGTTTGAGTCGGAGATAAGAGTCCTACACCACCCCACTACAATAAGTGTAAAGTATCAAGCTATGGTGCACACAGGGAGCATACGACAAACTGCTAGTATTGTAACGATGAGTGTTCAGCATATGAGGACCGGGGACAAGGCTATTTGCAGGTAATTATCAGTGATATATTATGTAGATGTGTGGATTTGTTGGGGAGGCGGGGTGTTTTGAAAATCTTAACTAAAATTAATTCTTATTGACAAATAAAAGAGATTAGGGTATCGAAACCAATGTTCGTTGATCTGAGAAATCAATTGGTTATGCGTATTTGACTTTCAGACCACGTTCAAATACGATAGACACGCCAATATTGGTAATTGAGAACAACGAATTACCGAACAGAATAAGTGATTTTTTGGATATGTTAAATCTCATGTTCTTCGACACAAGGCATCAATCGGTGATGGCCATTTGACTCCCAAATAATACTGAGGCACGATATAAACAGAATATCAGCAATATCAAATCGAATTTAAGGCTATTCTAAGTGGGGCAAAAATGACATTGAATGTAAGGTGATATATACATAATACTATATGCTCAAGTCTTATGGTAATTAAATAATAATAGTTTCGCCTAGAGCTAAATGAAAACAGTATCTTTAAAATCGGTCAGTCAATGGCTATTAATAATAAAAAATAACGTTCTATGACAACCTGAAATCGATGGAGTTTAAGACAAGGGAAAACTGATAAGGTCCACCATGTTGCATTTTAAAACAAGAGCACTGCACATTTAGTTATCAGCTTTGGGCATTTGGCGTGATAATTAACCGATAAGACTTTTAAGCATATAATATTACATAAATCACCTTATATTTAATGTAATTTTTGCGTCACTTAGAATAGTCTTGAATGCAGTTTGATATTGCTGATATTCTGATGATTGGCGATAAACTACTAGTACTAGTTTGGGAGTGACTATCGTATCTGGTCGTAATCAGAGAGTCATTTGGAAATCACAAATTTACTTAAATTCTTAATACTACTGCTGTCTCACAAATCATTGCTAGGATTGGCACCAACTTATATGCAGGACATGTTTAGGTAGTACGCACAGTACGCACACCATAGTCACTCATTAATTATTTTTCCATCGTTTAACTGTAATTTTAGTGTGCGTAGCTTCTCTGTGGTGCGGTGGCTCCAAATATCTACGGCCTCAGTCAAGAATCAACCCCTCGGTCGGACACCGGGGTGGGGGGGTGAGCTGAATATTGTTGATTTAACTTATCTATTTATAGAATTACTAAACACGATGGTTTTCCAGGTTTAGATTTATCAAGAATCCAGAGTATATAAAGGAAGGTGCCAGAATGGTCTTCAGAGAAGGGAGGACTAAAGCAGTTGGAAATATTATCAAGTAAGTGATTAATCCCAATTAATAAAAACAATCAACATAATACACTTATCATTTATTTGATGCGAGGAAAGCTTGATTATCCTCTATTCGAAATTTCAACGGTAATTAATCAATCAAACGGTTATTAATTAACTAACTAATCACCTCTTAAGGAGGTGATCCATCTAAGGATCCATTGGATCTATGCGATCTCCTCTGTCGACTCAACCGAATGATAGGAAACTTAATTGAGGGTTAAATGAGGAGGGGTACCTGTTAAAAGTTCAGGAAACTTCCTAGCATACCCCTTCAGCGCATACTGTAAACATAGTACTATTAACTATTATTAACTATTACCTCCTCAGAGTCTACCCCGACGCCCCGGCCCCCTACCGAGGCAACAAGCGCGACAAGATGAAACCGAAATACAACGCACGTCGCCGCATCAAATCACTTAACGACCGCGACAGGATAGATCCTGAGCCAAACCTAGTAACTCGACCAGAACCTATTTTAGCTACTGTACCATCGATACCATCGGTACCATCGGTACCATCGATACCATCGGTACCATTGATGCCAACGATACCATCGGTACCGACGATACCAACGATACCATCAGCAGATGCTACTGCAGCAGTTTCTGCTACCAATATTAATTCTACTACCACCGATCGCGATGATTCAGGGACATAGAGTTTGTGTGATACTCCGTTTCAAGGGAAATGGCTATCTTGTTATGAGTTATGAGTTAACTGTTGGATTAATTGGGTCTTAAGTTAATCTCAATTTGACTCTAGGTAAAAATGCCGTGAAGATTTATTAGCTGGTTTTGCTTTTTGGAATTTACGTATGGTGACCCCAATAATATACACCCATTGTACATAAACTGGTTTCGAGAATTATATAATATGTGTTTTAAATCCTAGTTACACTTTATAAACTTTCGGGATGTTAGAATTTGACAGAGACAACCTTGTGATTTACGCTTTTCGACAGCTATAATGTAAACATGAAACGACCTTATTGATCAGTGCTTTATTGTCTTTTCTTGAGGATAACTCCAGATTGGAACGTCTGAACTTTGCTTACGTAACCCACAAACCAAGGTCTACTTAATAATTTTAACGGCACGCGCCGTGACCTAATGGATTGGTAGCAAGTCATTGTAAGCGTACCGGGAATTGATGTGCTTTATTATTTTGCTGAATTCCAACGCTCAATTTCAAAACACTGGCAGTCTATAATTATATTCGACAATGTTAGGTACTTAATCGGGAATGTGGCTTACTCTAACGATATTTCATGCTACAAACGAACTGTTTATCTCCTATCGTTCGCTATTAATGGTATTATCTTTTAGCTAGGTCGAATGTAAAGAAGATAACGGAAGTATGTCCAACGCTACCCAATTCGAGGCGGACTATAGTGAACTGTCAGCTGACATCACGGCTAAAATAGGACGAATACCCAGTTTATTTGGCAAAGACAAACATGACATGGTCAGTTGTGTATCTTTCATTTATTTCATGTGTTCAGATAATATACACTATACAGCCTTACAACACGAAAATCCTTCACATTTTAACGCTTTTAAACACAACATTGACATACCCTAAAATAAACTTGACTTTTACCACAACATCACTTTTCTGCCACGTGACAGAATTAATAGTTTGACAACCAACTACATCATCACTACAGGTTGGGGAGGTTGAGGGATTGCTGGAGGAAGCTAAAGATTTAATAGACCAAATAGAGGTTGAGAGTCACGCTGCAACCGGAGATCAGCGCAGACAGGTTTTTCATATATTTCGTTATTATATAATAGTGGAGCACGATGTTTTGCGAGGCGTTTGTTTCGCGAAACGAAATATTATGATAATGATGGCACCATAACATTGTTTTTCCAATCCCTTCATACTTTGCAGCAGACTAAAACCTGCTACTCTCAACCTCACGGCTCACTATTCATCCTAGATCACGATGAACGTAGTGAACTACAAACGGGACTACGAAACCCACGTCAAGAATCTGAGAAAAGCTAGGGTATGTCTAACCGTGTTCGTGTGTGATTGTAAATATTTCTCATTTTTGAACACCATGAGTGTTTGACAGGCATGACATTCCTTTAGATTGTAACCATGGAGTGGCCACATATTTCAGCAAGTTTGTGACACAATGGCACATGCCATACGGTTACAACTCCCACAGCTAATAGCACGACGATGAGAGTTGGGTTAGGGAAGAGGGAAGGGGACACTCCTTTAAACATGTGGTCACACTTCGGTGAAATCAATCAGCTTTATAGACGTAGATTCTGGTGGGGAGGCATACTCTTTTGACACGTGGCAGCAATTAACCAATCAGCTTCCACTATTAACCAATCAAAACACAGAATCCCTGATTGCCTCTCCTCCCAACCAGAATCTACATCTATAGTTGTCCCTAATGTCGACGTGTAGTTACTGGCGGGGGTGTCACCGTGTCACGTGGTTACTTAAGAAAAGATGCAAATACTTATGTTCTTGAATTTACACGGTCTAAGTTCTCTACTGGGCTACCAGCTATCAACTAGAACCGTGCACTGCTTCCCAGAGGATAGTATCAATAGTGTCCTAAACAGGTGTTGCGACGAAGTGAACTGTTTTTAAGTGCTAATGTTGAGGAAGACGTGAGGAATCGTGATTTTAAGCAGATATTTTTATTGAAATTCCAAATTCCACGTTGCATGATCTTATTGGCATGCATTTTTCACGGACTGAAGGGTCTTACTGCCTCATTGTTGATCTATGACTGATTCAGGGCCTTTTTGTGGCATCCGTAGGACGCCTTTTCTTAGTTATTTCCCCCCGACCCTTTCCTTTTTAGGGATCGCTCTTACATGCCAGCAACTTAACATATACATACAATAATTATGTAAGCAGACATTCAATTTCGGTATTTTCAACAAAAAAATGAACGATTCCAGAAGTTGAAGCCTAACGAACTATTTAGCTATTAATGTACTATATTTAGCTGTAAATTCTGTTAGCATAAAAAGGTCCAAATCCCGGGCTTTTCAGCTAAATATTATGATCATCTTAATTTACATGCTTAATTTAAATAACAACAATGGCGAACCTAGCAAGCTAGGATCGAGGGGCCGATCTCCTTTTCTTTTGCGGTGCGGCCACGGTCCTTTCGGTACAGATTTCCCTGCAGCATAGTCGGGACGCAATCCCAGGCATATGCACTCGTGTTATTTTCGCAGCTCTAATGAGAGCCACTACCATTCACACCATGGTTTGGTGAGTGACGGCTGCCCATCAATTTTGAAATCTTGGCCCAACTGGGATTCGATCTCGCAGCGTCAGGGCCAGTAGACAAGCAGATTAACCAACTAAGCCACTGAGCCACTTAATCTAAATAACGTAATCAATTTCACGTGAACTGCTAGTGTACAATATACATAAGTTGTGATTTTAGCCCTATAATAAGAATGTGACCCCGACTTCGAAGTCACGAAGTACAAAATGATACAAGCTATCTAGTATCTAAAAGAGATTTGAACGCAGCCATAGCCCTGATGTATTTATTACAGGAGTTATTTGATCCTTGCAAAGGGATGCGATACGAAAAGAAAAGAAAACTTTAAAATGCGCCGTGGGTATTACAGGGTGTTGCAAGACTCGTGTCCAAATTTTGAATGGCTCTCAAAATCTAAAAAATGAGACAAACGGTCTAATTTTTGTTTTGTAGACAAATTATTACATTTCAAAATACATAACAAAAATAAATCTAATATTTTAACAATTTTTCGAACCAAGCCCCCTTTCTGCATAGAAGGTTTTGAACCCTCGGAAGCATATTGTCTATTGCACGTTTTACCATGTCAATTTTTAACTTTTTAGCCTCCCTTCTGATATTGTTTTTTAGCTCATCTACTGTTTGTGGGACTGGGTCTGAATAGACACGTTCTTTCAGATAGCCCCACAAAAAGAAATCGGCCGGATTCAGGTCAGGGCTGTAGGGAGGCCAGCTGAACTCAGCTTTCCTCGATATCAGTCTTTCCCCAAAATGCTCCTTCAGCCAAGCCAAACTTTCGTGTGAACAGTGTGGAGGGGCCCCGTCTTGTTGGAATATACAGGAATCAAGTATTTGTTTCCTTTTAAGTACTGGGATAACTTTTCCACGCAACATAGCAATGTAATTTGCTGTCCTTATCGTCTCTGCCTTCTCTTCTTCATTCTCGAAAAAGTGGGGTCCGAAGACACCATGGTAACTGAGGCCGACAAACAATTCTACTCAAAATTGTATTTGATAAGGTATGCTGCTACTCCTACACTCACATTCTTGAAGAGTGGCTCTAAGTGTACTATTTTGTGTGGTTAAAATTATTCGAAGAAAAGATCTCGTCGTTTCCGTTCCAATAATCTTGTATTTACTGTAATAATACTTTCAGACATCAGTCAGGACGTCTAACACAACTACTATTTTGAATAAGAAAGAGAAACTCACCTAAAATATCATAACAATGTTAGACTTACGTGCAGGTTTGGTTCAAGGTTTGGGTGCGTGGCTTCACATTAATTGGTCGGAGCCTTGCAACTCAACCAAACGTGGAAGCAAACCAAACGTTCTTAAATTCAGTAGCATACATATTAAAATCTAAAGAACATTGAAATATTGACTGTAAAATAACATGATATTGACTGTAAGTCCCGTCAGATGACATACCGGGATGTCGGTGGTGGTGAGGTATGTTACACACGTGTGTCTATATAGTGTCTACCGTGTCTACCGTGTGTAATTGTGGTGTGTGTACGTGTGGATTGCATGATATTCGTGAGTTTAAGCTCTGCTACACTTATAGCTGGCGTCTCTTCCACCAACCCTTCCTGTGGGCTTTCTCTTGAGCAGCCCAGTATAAATGTTTGCTTGGACACTTCTTTAAACTATTGAGAAACAAAGCTATCCGGTAGCGCAATGTTAATTCTGAACTTTGAGCAAAAGATCCAGGAAAGTTAAACATTTAATCAGGTGATTAGGTAATTAATTAAATGTACCTGTTTATTTCAGCTCTCATACACTGACGAGTCTGAGCAGAGGAATGAGCTGCTCGGAAATGAACACAAAAACACGATGACAAACAACTCGGAGAAACTGGAGAGATCATCTAAACGTCTCGAGGATGGGTTAGTATTTAGTAACTTAGTTACGTTGGTTAATTTAGTAACTTTAGTAATTTTAGTAATCTTATAACTTTGGAGAGGGCCCAGAGGGGATATATGTTCTAAACAATTTAGCGTTGAAAACACCGAATTAACAAAATGTCATATAAAAAATGAAGGAGTGAACACTTGCAATTTGGATTTACCAGATATGTACTGTATAAACTGTAAATTATCGGTCCAATGAGTCCAGATAATTTTATTTAATGAGTATTGTTAAATCTCAGTTAACATCTTCTTATTGCAGTTATCGTATGGCCATGGAGACGGAAGAGATCGGACAAAACGTGCTGAACAACCTCGCTCAAGATAGGGAGAAGATAAATAACGCTAGAAACAGGTTACTAATACAATATATTAATTTATTTATTTAATATCCACGATATTTATTTTGGCCCTTTCCGGGATTAAGCGTAGATTAACTTTAAGCTTTAGATTTCCATAAACCATCTGCTAGAAATAATACACATAGCTAACTAATCGATAGATCATTAACTAGTTAATTGACAAAACAATCAATAAAATAACAACTTTAATTAATTAATTAATTAAAAGCAACTTACTCAGGTTGAATAACGTAGACAGTACACTAACACAAAGTTCCCGCCTCCTGAACAACATGTACCGACGAGTGATACAGAACAAAGCCATGATGTTTGTTATCGGATTAATTATCGTAGTGATCATCGTGCTTGCTTTATACGGCATGTTTAAATAAACACAGAGAGAATTCTGAGATTTTCTATTTTGATTGAGTGATCTGTGATGGTCACTCCAGTGGTTATGTAATGTACACTATTACTGGTGCTGGGTCACGACTCGTGCTGATTATTATTATTATTTAGGTTGATCACACCTGTTGAAACGGGTGATGATTGCGTTGTTGGTCCCGGAGATCAGTGAATAGTTAATGTCAACTTTAAATAACAACACGGACCACAGCATTAACAAAAATGCTGTATTAATTTCGTTGATACTGATATAAGATATTGGCTGTATCCGCACACCTAAATCCGGCCGGCCGCCGCGCGCGATCAAAAGGGGTCGCAGTGTATTCACAACCTCACAGTACTTAGCACCTCAGACGTTTGCAAGATGTGGAGCATTTTTGATAGATCTGACTTACATTTTATTAACGCTCCATTAAGTGGTCATTCTAAGATGATAGTTGTTCATTCTTTGTACTTGCATGACACAACCAAACAGTAAACATTATAAAGTTATATTTTATAGGCTTATTATATGAGTTTATTGTGATTATAAATGAATGTTCTGCTAAAAACACAGTCACATTTTTACGACATTTTTGAAAAAATGTTAGAATTTCTGCTCGCTATTTTGGAGTTGCTGTACTTTAATGAATTATGTATAGTAAGAATTTGTTCTGGTTTTGTTGAAAAGTTTAAAACACTATGAAAGTTCTAGCGGGTTCTAGTAATTTGAGAGTTATAATGTAAAAATGATTGTTGTACACGTGTACTATGTGTTATGTTTTGAATTTATTTTTTGATGAAATGAGAAGAAAAGTGTCCCATTTTTTATCAACAGTAGAAACAATAATATTTACCTTCCAGTCTTACTTTCCATCCAATTCCAATGGATCAAAATCCTGATTTACGGAGGGCATTGAAATCCAAAGATTGTATAGCCTAGCTTACTGGGCGGCGCTCAGACTGTCATTCCGCCGAATCTCTATTGTTTGTGAACATAATAGCCTGGGGTCCCCAGGTAAAGCCTAGCTAGTACTCTTGTATAGCCTAGTTTACTCTTATATCGTCTAGCTTACTCTTTGTTGCTACTATGTCTACAATTGGATCTACTTTTTAAGTTGAGGCGATCTTATGTGCGTTTATTATTAATTATATCATAAAAACACGGAATTCTTTTTGAAAAATGGAAACATATAAAAAACACCTGTACAAATACATTCAATGCAATAAATTGGCACCATGAATAATGCTGCTCATGAATAGTATAAAGATGAAATGGCACGATAAAATCTGTAAGTCTTTGATATCCTGATTTTCGGCCACACATCTGCAAACATTTCTCTGATAGTTTAAATTCGAAACAAATTTATTCTTTTTATCACTTCAGTCATGCTAAAAAATATAAAAATTTCTGCACAAATTCAAAAGATGGAACTTTCGTGTCCAAAAGAAGGATCATTTTCCCATTAATTATCCACTAGATTTCCATCCTCACAACTCATTATGAAGCATCCTGCCATAATCCGTAGCCTGACTCCCCACAAACACCCTAAAGTTATTAACTATCTCCGCCGTCGTCAAAAACCCATCTTTATCTTTATCACTAAGAGCTATAAGATGTTTAGCCTCAGCTAGGGCGGGAGGTACTCCGTTTGGATGGAGCCATTCTCGGAGCTCGTCGATATCTACGCTTCCGTCTCCGTTGAGGTCTCGGTGTTGGAGGAAGTTTCGTTTTTCTATCTCTATCCATTCTGGCTTGTTGACGTGTTCGTCTGAAAGACATTTTGTTACAGGAAGTGGATCTTAGCTTTCGAATCGATGTCGTGCCTTCCTCTCAAAAGTAGTTTAGTAACTGTTTAATACGTTAGGTGGAATATTGCACTCTTAAAAATATTAAAAATGAACAGTTACCTTCTTCATCAGCTAGCAGATCAGTAATATACTCCTCAACTGAGACAAAGCCATCCTTGTTTGTATCCAAATCCTGAAAGATAAAAACCGTCAGTGATTAGTAAGATACAAATAGATTCCTAGATCAACAATTCGGTCTGGAAAATTGCATACCAATGGGCAGTTATGAGTCTCAAACAAGAACATACGGCTAACTTTATCCAAAACAATTAATCATCGAAAATGGATTGGAAGATCATCAAAACTTGATCGATCTTCATCTTTGGATTTCTGGGATAAGTTTATCCCAGAAATCCCAAGACATGGATGGTCGGATGGATCAAGTCATATTAAAATGGAATATTTCCCCGGCCCCTAATATTAGACTTACATTGAAGTTCTCCTGTATAGCGAGGTCTCTAGTGTGATGGAACTCCTCGGGATGTATGAATGCTGCCATCTCGTCTAAGGATAAGAATTGGTCTCCTGAAAGTAATGCACGTTATTAAGAAAACTTGTGGAGGTTTGTGTGCCTCTTTCAAAACCATTTCAAATCATAGAGCTTTAATATCGGCCTCATACTCGAAATCCTGTAGTCATGTTAACTGAGTACTAACTGAATGCATGATTACCAGAGTTAAACAATCATCACTAAACAGATCACTTAACTAAAAGTTGCAGTAAAACTTAAAAACATATAAATATATTGTGAACCAAAACCCACCATTAGCATCAGCAGTGATAAACTTGTTGTAGTCTTCTCAGAATCATTTCTCTGTAATTCATCACAGTTTATGTGAAATCTGGCCTCTAATCAATTGCTGGAAGATCTTCAATTGCTGGAAGATACTGGTTATTATATAAATAACTATGTTATTAATTATATATAATTACGTCTAGTGCAGGGAGCACTTATAAGTCACTAAGCTTAGTGACCGGGACAATGTGGCATAAGGAGTGATTTAACACGCTCACACAGGCTGACTTTCAGCTCCACCGCCACCTGCTTGGGTGATGGTAGAAGTTATTTTCAGCTGCAGAATTAGCGGTGTCCCGCCTAGTCAATGTTCAAACTAGCTCTTTCCTAGTTTCCACCGGAAGCGCCATATAGAGAATTTCCTTGGATAGCTGTCACGTGACAGTCACGAGATATCGATTGAGCGCGTTTACTGGTTGGATATATAGCGCGTGATATTGAGCTATTATGCATAGGCAATTATGCACCATATAAGGTGTAATTTTTTGCTGCATCTAGCACGTGATATTTGCAAAGCTAATTACACATCCATATAAGGCGTAATTAATAGCTCGGAGTTGCAGGGGAGTTTTAATAGCGTGAAATTGGCTGGTTGATTAGGTGTAACAGTACATACAAGTAAATGTTTCGTAAACTATGTTGGTTATAAAGTTAACTTTGGTTTTAGAACAGTGTGTGAGGGCGCGTACAAATGGAAGTGCACTGATTTGTTGTTCAAATGGTTAGAATAAAGATTTGTCCGAACCGGCTGAAATCGTTGTTACGTTGAAAACTGTCTCCTCGATTACCTTGTTACCTAGCTAGTAACTTGGTATGAAGAGAGAGTGGAAACCAGACGAAAGTAAGACGAAGTCTCGGGGATCGGGGATGCAGCCTACAATGGGCATGAATATATAGAGGGCCCTAGGTTGCTCCCCAGATCGGCAGTCCAATAACACATTTTCTGAAAATTTCTAATTTTCAAACTTTTCGTCAGTCCTACGCCACTGGGGAATGATAAAAAGATGCGAGCGTGCTGAATCACTCTACAGAGCATTTAAAGCAAAATTCTTTAAATGCTCATTTTTGTATAATTTCCGACTTGATATCTCAAAATAATGGGTTTCATTCGCTAACCTTCCGTAACAATTAACGACACTTTCGTTCGACAACATGGCCCTTTTGATGCATAAACACATTTTTCCATTAAAATTATCATAATGAAATTGAGTGGAATTTGAATTAACATATATTGCCAAATTGTTATTATTCTAGAGGATAAAAAAGAAAATTTTGATTACGTAATATGTGAACGACCCCTTACGTGCAGGTTCGATTCTAGGTTTGGGTGTGTGGCTTTGCATTAATTGGTCAGAGCCGTGCAACTCAACCAAACGTGGAAGCAAACCAAACGTTCTTCAATTCAGTAGCATATATTAAAATCTAAAGAACATTAAAATATTGACTGTAAAATAACATGATATTGACTGTAAGTCCCGTCAGATGACATACCGGGATGTCGGTGGTGGTGAGGTATGTTACACACGTGTGTCTATATAGTGTCTACCGTGTCTACCGTGTGTAATTGTGGTGTGTGTACGTGTGGATTGCATGATATTCGTGAGTTTAAGCTCTGCTATACTTATAATAGCTGGCGCCTCTTCCACGCCTCTTCTACCAACCCTTCCCGTGGGCTTTCTCTTGAGCAGCCCAGTAAATGTTTGCTTGGGCACTTCTTTAAACTATTGAGAAACAAAGCTATCCGGTAGCGCAATGTTAAATCTGAACTTTGAGCAAAAGATCCAGGAAAGTTAAACATTTAATCAGGTGATTAGGTAATTAATTAAATGTACCTGTTTATTTCAGCTCTCATACACTGACGAGTCTGAGCAGAGGAATGAGCTGCTCGGAAATGAACACAAAAACGCGATGACAAACAATTCGGAGAAACTGGAGAGATCATCTAAACGTCTCGAGGATGGGTTAGTCTTTAGTAACTTAGTTACGTTGGTTAATTAAGTAACTTTATAATTTAGTAACTTTAGTAATTTTAGTTATCTTATAACTTTGGAGAGGGCCCGGCGCGGAGTTTTTAAACAATTTAGCGTTGAACACACCGAATTAACAAAATGTGATATTAAAAATGAAAGAGTGAACACCTGGATTTACCAGATAATATGTACTGTATAAACTTTAAAATATCGGTCCAATGACAGATAATTATATTTAATAAATATTGTTAAATCTCAGTTAACATCTTCTTATTGCAGTTATCGTATGGCCATGGAGACGGAAGAGATCGGACAAAACGTGCTGAACAACCTTGCTCAAGATAGGGAGAAGATAAATAACGCTAGAAACAGGTTACTTACATATTAATTTATTTAATATCCACGATATTAATTTTGGAATCACATAGTACTATTGGAATCACATAGTACTACAATGTACTTCCTGATGTAATGACCCTTTCCGGGATCTCCTAAGCGTAGATTAAGCTTTAGATTTCAATGAACCATCTGCTCGAAATAATACATATTACCAAGTTATAGATAGATCATTAATTAACTAGTTAATTGACAAGATAATCAATAAAATAACAACTTTAATTAATTAATTAATTAAAAACAACTTACTCAGGTTGAATAACGTAGACAGTACACTAACACAAAGTTCCCGCCTCCTGAACAACATGTACCGACGAGTGATACAGAACAAAGCCATGATGTTTGTTATCGGATTAATTATCGTAGTGATCATCGTGCTTGCTTTATACGGCATGTTTAAATAAACACAGAGAGAATTCTGAGATTAATTTTCTATTTTAATGTTGTGATCTGTGATGGTCACTCCAGTGGTTATGTAATGTACACTATTACTGGTGCTGGGTCACGACTCATGCTGATTATTATTATTATTTAGGTTGATCACACCTGTTGAAACGGGTGATGATTGCGTTGTTGGTCCCGGAGATCAGTGAATAGTTAATGTCAACTTTAAATAACAACACGGACCACATTACGACATTTTTGAGAATTTGCTCTGGTTTTGTTGAAAAATTTAAAACACTATGAAAGTTCTAGCGGGTTCTAGTAATTTGAGAGTTATAATGTAAAAATGATTGTTGTACACGTGTACTATGTGTTATGTTTTGAATTTATTTTTTGATGAAATGAGAAGAGAGGTGTCCCATTTTTTATCAACAGTAGAAACAGGAGAAACAGTAATATTTACCTTCCAGTCTTACTTCCCAGCCAATGGATCAAAATCCTGATTTACGGAGAGCATTGAAATCCAAAGATTGTATAGCCTAGCTTACTGGGCGGCGATCAGCCTGTCATTCCGCCGAATCTCTATTGTTTGTGAACATAATAGCCTGGGGTCCCCAGGTAAAGCCTAGTTTACTCTTGTATAGCCTAGTTTACTCTTGTATTACCTAGCTTACTCTTGGTTGCTACTATGTCTAAAATTGGATCTACTTTTTAAGTTGAGCGATCTTATGTGCGTTTATTATTAATTATATAATAAAAACACGGAATTCTTTTTGAAAAATGGAAACATATAAAAAACACCTGTACAAATACATTCAATGCAATAAATTGGCATCATGAATAATGCTGCTCATGAATAGTATAAAGATGAAATGGCACGATAAAATCTGTAAGTCTTTGATATCCTGATTTTCGGCCCACATCTGCAAACATTTCTCTGATAGTTTAAATTCGAAACAAATTTATTCTTTTATCACTTCAGTTCTGCTAAAAAATATAAAAATTTCAAAAGATGGAACTTTCGTGTCCAAAAGAAGGATCATTTTCCCATTAATTATCCACTAGATTTCCATCCTCACAACTCATTATGAAGCATCCTACCATAATCCGTAGCCTGACTCCCCACAAACACCCTAAAGTTATTAACTATCTCCGCCGTCGTCAAAAACCCATCTTTATCTTTATCACTAAGAGCTATAAGATGTTTAGCCTCAGCTAGGGCGGGAGGTACCCCGTTTGGATGGAGCCATTCTCGGAGCTCGTCGATATCTACGCTTCCGTCTCCGTTGAGGTCTCGGTGTTGAAGGAAGTTTCGTTTTTCTATCTCTATCCATTCTGGCTTGTTAACGTGTTCGTCTGAAAGACATTTTGTTACAGGAAGTGGATCTTAGCTTTCGAATCGATGTCGTGCCTTCCTCTTAAAAGTAGTTTATCACGTTAGATGGAATGTTGCACTCTTAAAAATATTTAAAATTGAACAGTTACCTTCTTCATCAGCTAGCAGATCAGTAATATACTCCTCAACTGAGACAAAGCCATCCTTGTTTGTATCCAAATCCTGAAAGATAAAAACCATCAGTGTTAGTAAGATACAAATAGATTCCTAGATCAACAATTCGGTCTGGAAAATTGCATACCAATGGGCAGTTATGAGTCTCAAACAAGAACATACGGCTAACTTTATCCAAAACAATAAATCATCGAAAATGGATTGGAAGATCATCAAAACTTGATCGATCTTCATCTTTGGATTTCTGGGATCAGTTTATCCCAGAAATCCCAAGATATGGATGGATCAAGTCATATTAAAATGAACATTTTTCCCCGGCCCCTAATATTAGACTTACATTGAAGTTCTCCTGTATAGCGAGGTCTCTAGTGTGATGGAACTCCTCGGGATGTATGAATGCTGCCATCTCGTCTAAGGATAAGAACTGGTCTCCTGAAAATAATGCACGTTATTAAGAAAACGTTTTGTGTGCCTCTTTCAAAACCATTTCAAATCATAGAGCTTAATATCGGCCTAATACTTGAAATCCTGTAGTCATGTTAACTGAGTACTAACTGAATGCATGATTACCAGAGCTAAACAATCATCACTGAACAGATCACTCAACTAAAAGTTGCAGTAAAACATAAAAACATATAACAAAATTGTGAACCAAAACCCACCATTAGCATCAGCAGTGATAAACTTGTTGTAGTCTCTCAGAATCATTTCTCTGTAATCAAACTCTCCATCCTCAGGAGCCTGCTGTTCGTTATCTACGAATCCCAAGCCATACGTGGTCGCCACGTATTCTTTCCAGCTTACAAAACCGTCGTGGTTAACGTCGTTACCATCGTGTAGGTTCCTGTTCGTTAATTAATTAGTAACTAATTTCTTCTGTAAAGATATTTAAGTATTTAAAGTATAAGAGATAATGTATTCACTGTTATTTTGAGAATTTATCTAGATACATTTAGATATAATAGGTAATTCAAACATCAACGGGATTTATAATTCTACTTAGCTACATCAGTGAATTTAGTGATTGTTAACCATTAATTATAATATCCATACCTTGCATCGTCCATAATGTAAGCCATGAGCTGTTTCTTGATCCAATCGTGGAGTTCGTCCTCTGATATCTGACTGAAATCAAAGAAAACAATAAGAAATCAACCATCTCATTAAAAGTCACCAAACCTAAAAACCGTCAAAAAGCCAAAGGGACCGTTCTCATATTACTATTAGTTATAACACAATCACTTTTTCGCAATTTTTTGTGTCCAAATTACACTAGAATCATCTGGAAACCCCCGTCCCCCCTGGACTGATATTACGTAATATGTGGACGACCCCAAAAGTAAGAACACACACCCATTCCCATCCTCATCAAGGTATGGGATGATTCTTTGAAGTCTCTCTTTGGCCTCTTTGGCAGACAGACTGTCGAACTCTACTTTCTTCTCGTGTCCCAGGAAGGCCTCGTGGTCGTAGTCCTCTGATGGATTTGTAATTAGGGTAATTATCAGCACAATCAATTATAACAATCAATTATCAATTATCATTATCATATCTTGTATTCCTGATATGAAATCAATTGTAAACCTGCAATATCAAATACAATGCCACAGTACTGAAGCTAAAAGCTTTAAAGAGCTTATTGTTGGAGCTATAACTAAACAATAAAAAGACTTAATTAATTAATAAACTAATATAATAATAGTTTACCTGAATTAGTGTCATGTTTGGGCATGTAGTCCGCTTCGTTTGCTTCCTGCCTGATAGCACTTCTGCTCCAGGCCCCAACTATCAACATTAACACTAGCGTCGGATACATTTCGTCTAAAATGAGGGATTTTAAGACTTTTTGGGTGGTTACTGGTTAGATTGTAAGTTTTTACCGGCCCTGACTGTTTCCCCAGGCTGCAGTACAAGTACAGTGTACAAGTTATCTAAGATAAGCAGCCAGGGGCCAGTTACATAATTAGTAACTTAGTATCAGGACTCAGGAGTGTAGTTCAAAGCAACATTTACAATTTAACTACATGATATAGTTTCATTGCGTCTTAATATAAGAGAGCAATCAGTACTGTAGACTTCTACCTGACTAATCTTCTATAGTTGTTTGAACATATAATGACCTTTAAACATTCCTAGATAATATAACCATAGCCCCATCAAACAACTTGTGTGTGCTCACTGCTCGGCAGCTGCAACCAATAAAAACAGTTTCAGATGTAGCGGCTCATTATGGTATTTATAGTCAAAAGTGAAGGAAATGATCAGGGTCGAGAAACTAGTTTTTAATTAGTTAGCAAGGAGTAATTAAAAGACACATAATTAAAAGACACACAATATTCACAGTACACGGGTGGAACCTAATCATATCCAATAAGTAAAACTGTACACTCTTACTGACCAAAACGATACAAATACAATTAAATACAATCCAGCACTTTACTAAAGCTTCTCATCGCTCTAACGGATTATCTCCGTTAAATAAAATTCCGTGACTTACCAAACACTGCTAAAACAACAAGTGCCAGCACCAGTAAAAAGCAATCGTGACCAAAACGAATCGTCCGCTGCCGCCACGAATGCGGTTCCAGCCGGGCAAAATAAACAGAGGACAGCTCTCTCACTGTTGTAGTACGTCGGACATGTTTTGCCACTGGGTTATGTGCAACGTGGCAGGAGGTGACCGCCTCTTGCACAGGGTACCCTGCTACATCATTCGCTGCATGGTAAATTAGGTTATCTGTGTGCGTGGAAGAGGCGGGTGTGTGCGTGTGTACAATGTGCTGTAGTTACTTTGCTCCGCGGGAAACATGAAGTTGCACATGTGAATCATGTGACATATTTGCGTGTTCATACAGCTGAAAACTAGAATAATTAATTAGTGTAAAAGCCAATATTTCTAATTGGCTTTAGCATAACTTCCTTATCATTATCAGTCTTACTCTTACAGTGTCTGGTAGTAACAACCAATTTCATGGTGTAGTATATGTAACACGTATGATCTCTTTAAGTGGTAGAAATTACAGCCAAGCCTTCCAGCAACCTTGGGTTCACCTCGTAAATTCAACTAGATTTTTATATTTAAGGTGATGGCTCTGATTTTGTAACTTCAATTGACAATGCTATTGAGCGTTCAGACTTTTTGATTTTTTGAGAATGATCTCTGTTTTTCCCCGATTTTTTTAGAATGTTATCGGTTATTTTAACCGCAGAGCTATTCACGCCTTATTATAGCTGGACCAAATAAAACGACATATCTAAAACCTTGAAAAAGTTCCAATAGCGTAGAAAACATCTCAATACTTATTATCCACTAATATAGCTATAATCGGGGTAGTTTCAAACACATTTCTCAGCTTACAATAAATATCATCCCATACAATGAGCCTTAACTGAGATAGCCAGCAAAAAACGTTAAAACGTAAATAAAACGCTGGCCAAAGAGCCCATTTGGGGAATATATCATGGCCGAAAAAACTGCATATTAATATTTTGTATTTCAATACTCTGCGTAATCGTATGAAAAAATAAGGTGACGTGAAATATGTTATTTACACTCATTAAAAGATAATAACTTAATTTATATCCGTTATAAAATAGCAGGAAGAGGAGATGAAAGATAATTTCTGAGGGCCTGCACATAGAAATTGTCAACTAGGATATATATATCTATCATTCAGCAATCAAGCTACAGGCATCTCAACGGCACAAACTAACTAATACCCATCGAAACATACCACATTCTTCCTGATCACTCATTTTCACGTATAATATAATAAGTTAAATCATAAATTATCTATAGCTGTAATAATAACCTCAATATAGTCCGGGGCTGGTTTAAATTTAAAACTAAGTTTATTCTCCGTAGTGGCGTTTCAGGCCTTCCAGAAGAGCTTCACACTGTTTCTTAGCGTCACCTGGAACAAGATACAGTCAAAAAATCTGTGGATTTGTGGTGGAACGAGGTAAATTATACAGAATGTTCAAAAAGAACTTATCCCGGAAAATTTCGATCAGTGACAATGGAAAAATACAAATAAATAAAGCAAATCAACAGGGGGATAAAACATACCAAGATACATAGAATTGTTGGGCTTGAAGAAGACTGGGTTATCGACCGCAGCATATCCGGCCCCAAGGGACCTCTTCATGACAATACTTTGCTCTGCCTTCCACACTCTCAACACAGGCATTCCTGAAGTAAATGGGAAGTTAGTTTAATCACATTGGATATGGTTTACTAGATTGGGTTAGGAGCTTTGGGTAAACGGAAAGAGTTTGGAAGGCGTCATGAACTTGAAATCTATTCATTATTAAGAAACGGCCGATGTTGAGAACTCAAAACAGATAAATACAAACAGATAATATCCGGGCACCAAAATATCACAAACCTGCGATGATGGAGTTAGGGTCATCTTCAGCAGCTGAGTTTACAGTGTCGTTAGCTCCAATAACAAGTACTACATCGGTGTCAGGGAAATCATCATTCAGCTCATCCATTTCCTGAAGAGTCGATCATTAAGTAATGTGATCCTGATTTTACTCATCGAAAATTTATCCAAGAAAATTTTAGATTTTGCTTACATAACATAATTTTTCCTCTTGACGACAAATTCAATCTTTAAAGCTTATAAAACACAGCATATCACAAAAGTACATACCAGCACGATATCGTACGGTACACCAGCTTCAGCTAGGAGCACATTCAACTGTCCAGGCATACGGCCAGCAACGGGATGAATACCAAATCTGAAGTTGATTCCCTTCCGGGTGAGAAGATCAGCGATCTCAGCAACGGGGTATTGTGCACGAGCCGCGCACAGGCCGTAACCGGGTACAACGATCACGTTCTTGGCGTTAACCAGAGCGTCAACTACTCCGTCTGTCATTATCTCTGAGAGGTGGGAGAGTTGTTACGTTTTAGAAGTTGGTTTCTGAATGTTTGGGGTGTAAAAGGACTGTAGTTGAGTTGTGATGTGGCGAAATTGTTTTCCCACCACTTTATCCCGGTTATAATAATCCCGAGTAAGGTATGTAGTAGGTTGATATTTAGCTGTAACTTATGCATTGTGATGTGTGTGCTATTGGAACTCTTAATTAGGAAATTCCTTGAATAAACATACAGGGTATAGTAACAGGCAATGGATAAGTTGGAAAGCGTAATCCTGTTTTACAAGTTTCAGATTTCTAGAACGGGAAATCTTGCATAAAATCTAATTATATAAAGTTGCTACGAAGTCGATGAGTGCGTATGAGCCGCGCAAACACATGGTGCTGAAGGCCTATTTTGTTTTTTTGACAAACTGCGCAAGGGAGTTGGCGCAGAAGATGAATCCGAGTTCGTGGAAACATTTGTGACGGGATTAAAAACATATTTTTGGCTGTATATGTCTGTAAACTGAGTTGGATTTGCCCTGGTATGATACAGTGACATGAGTACTAACATTTTAAGCCTCCTGTGAAATATTTCCCTGATTCATGGAATGAATGAAATGAACAAAAAATGAACATTGTCTCAGAATGCCCTGGACTGAGCTGAAACCGATTGGTATCGGTTGGTATTGATACCACAAGTGTCCCTAAGAAGTTTGGTGGGTCTAGCATGTTCAGAAAGGGCTCTGGGGCAATGTTTCCATTTTGGTTTCAGAGTAGTTGAGATCGTGGAAAACATTTGTGACCGATTTGGAAACATGCCCTTGTAGCCGTAATTCTGCCTGGACTGACTTGGAATCGATCTGGCATGGTAGAGGGACATGTGTCCTATCATTTCTAACCACTCAGAAGTGCGAAATATTGCCCTGGTTCATGGAATGAACGAAATGAACAAAAAATGAACATTATCCTAGAATCGCCTGAAATGAGCTGAAACCGATTGGGATCGATTGGTAATGATACCAGAAGTGTCCCTGAGAAGTTTGGTGGGTCTAGCATGTTAAGAAAGGGCTCTGGGACAATGTTTCCATTTTGGTTTCAGAGTAGTTGAGATCGTGGAAACATTTGTGACCGATTTGGAAACATGCCCTTGTAGCCGTAATTCTGCCTGGACTGAATTGGAATCGATCTGGCATGGTAGAGGGACATGTGTACTATCATTTCTAACCACTCAGAAGTGCGAAATATTGCCCTGGTTCATGGAATGAACGAAATGAACAAAAAATGAACATTATCCTAGAATCGCCTGAAATGAGCTGAAACCGATTGGGATCGATTGGTAATGATACCAGAAGTGTCCCTGAGAAGTTTGGTGGGTCTAGCATGTTAAGAAAGGGCTCTGGGGCAATGTTTCCATTTTGGTTTCAGAGTAGTTGAGATCGTGGAAACATTTGTGACCGATTTGGAAACATGCCCTTGTAGCCGTAATTCTGCCTGGACTGACTTGGAATCGATCTGACATGGTAGAGGGACATGTGTACTATCATTTCTAACCACTCAGAAGTGCGAAATATTGCCCTGGTTCATGGAATGAACGAAATGAACAAAAAATGAACATTATCCTAGAATCGCCTGAAATGAGCTGAAACCGATTGGGATCGATTGGTAATGATACCAGAAGTGTCCCTGAGAAGTTTGGTGGGTCTAGCATGTTAAGAAAGGGCTCTGGGGCAATGTTTCCATTTTGGTTTCAGAGTAGTTGAGATCGTGGAAACATTTGTGACCGATTTGGAAACATGCCCTTGTAGCCGTAATTCTGCCTGGACTGACTTGGAATCGATCTGGCATGGTAGAGGGACATGTGTACTATCATTTATAACCACTCAGAAGTGCGAAATATTGCCCTGGTTCATGGAATGAACGAAATGAACAAAAAATGAACATTATCCTAGAATCGCCTGAAATGAGCTGAAACTGATTGGGATCGATTGGTAATGATACCAGAAGTGTCCCTGAGAAGTTTGGTGGGTCTAGCATGTCCAGAAAGGGCTTTGGGGCAATGTTTCCATTTTGGTGTCAGAGTAGTTGATACGTACCTCTGAAAGCAGAGCTCCCGCTTCCAAGCTCGTATTGCGAAGAGGAGGCCTGCCTTCCGAGATCGCATCACAAAGGGGAACCCTCGAATTATCGAAGGGTAGGTGCGGACTTCGAAAACCGAAAAACATAATTTCGGCTCAGAATGATCAGGGTAGCATGGAACACGAACAAAAGTAGTTTCCAGAAAAACTTTGAAAAAGTTGCCCAGATTTCATAGATGGCCCCCCTGCCCCCCCCCCCCCCCCCCCCCCTTCCTACACCCCTGGTTCAGAAGTGCGAAATATTGCCCTGGTTCATGGAACATTTTTTAAACATTTTGAAACATTAATGAACGAAATGGGGGGGGGGGGGGGGGGGGGGTTTGGGGGATTAGGGTAGCATGAAACATGAACAAAAGTAATTTCCAGAAAAAATTTTTCGGTACGAGTCATTCTCGTAGGGCCTGTCGTGATATCATGGATCGCTTAGGTTCCACCAGGATCTGGTAGTCCCCCAATTCTGCGGCCTCTATGTATCGTCATCTCGTACAACTCTTTAAGAATCTTAGGGATTTGGCATGTGAAAATTTGCAGCCTTCCAGACATTGATTGGGTTAACGAGGTGTCGTACGTCACCTCAATATCGGGTGACTATGACGTCAGCAGAGCTTGTTTTCCGAGCTCAAGCTACTTGATCAGGCCTTATATGGAATAATATAGTGTATCGAGTGTAATTGGATCCAATTAGAGGAGCTGCGCAATTATCGCAGCATGATATCACCTTCTGAAACCCAGCATGGAGCTGGGCCAGAGCAGAGATTTGAAAATATAAGGATTATTTGTTAATGAAATCGAAGTGAAAATCATGTAACCCTATGTTTTCGAGGACGGCGAACACGATAAAACTGGTTATACTTATAATTATCATACTTCAGGGCAAATTGCTTTAAAATGCACTAAATGTCATATAATGTGTTATTATAAGCTAATAACAATTAGAGTTAACATTAGCTAGTGTCTTACATCTAGAGTTAACGTTAGCTTGTTTCTTACATCTCGAAGTAGAGTTAACATGAATACAATATACCTTACATCTAGAGTTAACATTAAATTATACCCTAGTACACTAAATCCAGATTTTAGACATTCTCGATACGTACCTCTGAAAGCAGAGCTCCCGCTTCAAAGCTCGTATTGCGAAGGGGAAGCCTGCCTTCCGAGATCGCACCACAAAGGGGAACCCTCGAGTCCAAAATCGTATATATCGAACTTCGAAAACCGAAAAAAATAATTTCGGCTCAGAATGATCAGGGTAGCATGAAACATGAACACAAATTACGGCTACAAGGGCATGTTTCCAAATCGGTCACAAATGTTTCCACGATCTCAACTACTCTGAAACCAAAATGGAAACATTGCCCCAGAGCCCTTTCTTAACATGCTAGACCCACCAAACTTCTCAGGGAGACTTCTGGTATCATTACCAATGGATCCCAATCGGTTCCAGCTCATTTCAGGCGATTCTAGGATAATGTTCATTTTTTGTTCATTTCGTTCATTCCATGAACCAGGGCAATATTTCGCACTTCTGAGTGGTTAGAAATGATAGTACACATGTCCCTCTACCATGCCAGATCAATTCCAAGTCAGTCCAGGCAAAATTACGGCTACAAGGGCATGTTTCCAAATCGGTCACAATTCTGTCACAATTCTGTCACATGTTTCCAAAATGTTTCCAAAATCTCGGATTCATGAACTCAGTTGGCGCGCATATGGCAATTCTGAATCACAATAGTAATATCCGTATGCTCGAAAAGATACCCTTACATGTGAAGTGATTTGTCATTTCGCCAAATCCTCACCTTTCTCTACAACCTCAACTCTGCAGATCTAAATGAACTCAAACATCGCGAAATCTCCTCAAAATCCCTGCACTGGGGAAAATCCACCAACGTTTTAAAAATACGTTAAAACTACATCCAGGTGGTCAATAATCTGGAATGTTCGATACAGTAAATTAGCAAGTATTATAGTACCTGTTGCAGTCCCCTCAATAGCCATTGCGGCTCCGCCTCCGGTTGAACTTGTTCCAAACCCTCCCAGAATAACACTAGGTAAACTCCTGTTCATTGCCTGAAATCAATCAATCGTAAGTATTAAATTCAAAGTCCAATTACAAAATTAATGAAAAATAAGTCAGCAATCTGATGAATAAGTTTATCAAATTGTTATTTTTGATAACGATTCTAGTAATGTGACACCCTTTCAACTGAGACAGTGATGAACACAGTAATTTAACACTGCGATGGAAGATTCTGGAAAACCGGTTATTACTCTTATTAGATTTCAAGTCTAATAAGATTTACCGGTTAGATTTTCTAGAATACCTCACTGAACCGGAGCCTTTTCATAACACTTTGCAGTTAAACTAACCAAATAAAATTATTAAATAGGTATAAGATTAAGATGCTAAGGACAAATTTAAATGTAAGGGTGTAAGATGTCCAGGGAAAAGTTATTATTAGATTTTTTTGATGTATAATAACAACAAATATCTTTTAACCTTGCACATGATATAAGACAAGATAGCACCACTGGAGCCAATCAGCGAGCCAACAATAGTCATGAGAGAGTTGTTCAACATGAATCCCTCCGCGCATAGTGCCCATCCTGAGTAACTGTTGAGCACGGTGATAACCACAGGCATGTCAGCTCCTGTTAAGGGTTATTTATTAGGTTAATTAAGTTAATTAGGTTAATTGGGTTATTGCATTGTTTAATAATTAAGTTAATGAGTAATTGTGTAATTATGTACACGTTATCACTCAGCCTGTTATCGATGAGATTTATAAGTGAAGGGAAAATCACGTTCTTTTAAATAAGGGTCGATTATGTACATCATGACTTTCTAACAGGTTTATATTTATCATAAATGTAATGCTGTTTATAAATACTGTCTAAAATAATGTTTTCAAGACAGGCTGGCATGTGACTCAATCAATATGGCGGTATGGAAGTTCATATTCAAGCAAATATCCCAAATACCATCACTCTCCGTGGAGTAAGCATTCCAGAACTGCCATAAATATTGAATAACCAACCAAATGGAATAAACAAGCTGTTTTGCAATAGTCAGTTAACACCATGTCACTACAGCCGCGTCTCAATTAAACAATGAATAGTAAGATCTCCACTGCAGAGATAATATCAAGATAATATCATGATAATATCAAGATAATATCATGATACATACCTCCGATAGCAGCAGTAAGAGTGTATCCCATGATACCAGATCCAGCTGTGATAGCACTTAGCATACCCACACCTTACCACAAATACTGTGTTAACATCTAAAACTCATTAAAAATTTCATGTTTATAGTTAAACCAAAAATCAAAATAATTGGTATATATTAATATATCAGGAAAAAAGACAACACAACTTGAACGAATTATTTTTTCAAACTTTAAAAATGTCTCGCTTATTTCATAAGACTTTCATCAAATAAATCACACAATTTCACATAAAATGTAAGTACCTGCAGCAAGACTGGGAGCGTTATAGAAGTATCCCATACAACCAATGTTAGCAGCTAACAGACTCGCATTAATAGCGTGCCTTCCAGGGAGGAGAAGCGCTGCTGAGCTCAATCTACCTGCAATGTAATGAAAAAATTGTTAGACAAATATTTTTTAATCAAATTTGGTGATTGTGTTATCTATTGGATTCAAACGAAAAAATAAACTAAGATCACCGTTTTCAAAAACAATAGCATAAATTTCAAAGCATTCCCCACATACCATCGAGTTTGCCGTAAGCAACTAATGACCCTGTGACAGTGACACCACCAATGTATGTTCCCAACATGACAGCAGTTTTCAGAACTGCAGCGTTACCAATTGTTGCTAGATGTGGGAAATCGTGGATGTAGGTGGCAATACAGGTCAGACAAGCAGCAGCTCCAACGAAACTGTGAGGCGTTATTAGTTGCTAATTAGTTAATTAATTAATAGCCAGGTAATCATGCTAATAACTGTGTTGTCACGTACAATTATTATGACAGGCTCCAGTGGAACTGTGAGAAGGATAACCAATTGATTAATTAACTAATCGCCGATTAATTAAGCTAATAACAAAATCACCAAAACGTTAACTATAAGTGATATCACATGTGACGACATTGTAGATGATGACGTAACACAATAACCATCTAGCACCACAACAATAGTAACACAAAACCAAACACACCTATGGAAGAGAGCAACCAGCTGGGGTAGAGATGTTATCTCGACCTTCTTAGCGATAGTAGCGCCCACAGCACCTCCCAACACAGCAGCACCTATATATTGCAATACATTAGATTATTGATTATTGACTTTTTAGTGAAGATACATTTCATTTTTTATATTCATTAAGTGTGAAGGATCAACCATAATTTATTGATATTTTCGAATTATAATATGATTAACATAATACAAATTAAATAATCTTAAATTTGATCCTTCGAACAGCTGTTGAGCAATGAAACGCAAACATAATCTTAGCAAAAGGAATATATTTCTTTTATCTTCAGCATTTAATCAGTCACATAATCTCAAATTATTTGTTATATAGTAGTGTTGAAAGTATTAAAACAAATTAAATAAAATATCCTATTGAGACACAAACCTCCCATCTGTGCTAGTACTTCTATAGGCGGGTTAAGGAGCCCCACTGTAGCTGTTATTCCTCCTGTAACACCTATCATACCAAGTGTGTTACCTACCTGGGTGGAATGTGTGAGTTAGTTATCTAGTGGGGTGTGGTAATTTGGTGGGGTGTGGTAATTTGGTGGGGTGTGGTAATTTGGTGGAATGTGTAGGTTAGTTATCTAGTGGGGTGTGGTCATTTGGTGGGGTGTGGTAATTTGGTGGAATGTGCAGGTTAGTTATCTAGTGGGGTGTGGTCATTTGGTGGGGTGTGGTAATTTGGTGGAATGTGTAGGTTAGTTATCTAGTGGGGTGTGGTCATTTGGTGGGGTGTGGTAATTTGGTGGAATGTGTAGGTTAGTTATCTTGTGCGGGTGTGGTCATTTGGTGGGGTGTGGTAATTTGGTGGTTTATACGGATTTGTTTATAAAATTCGAATATCGTGTAATAATTTTAAGTTCAAATTTCAATCTACGATAACTGCCATGTGTGATTGAATATCAAAATATCATTTGAAATTTAAGACAAGATAAGATAAGGATCGGATAAGATAAGGCCAGATAAAACATACGAGATAAGATAAGCTAAAATACAACACATGATAAGATAAGACAAGGTAAAACAGATAACCCACCCTAGCAGTAGACTGGGAAGACAGACCCCCGAGGGCGCCCAAACAGCACAGAGAAGAAGCAAGGTATGCCATCTGGTGAATATCAGCCATGTTCTGACTGGCAGCGTACGCGTACCCTCCCAGGAACAGAGATGCTGGCAGACCTGGACAGAGAGCGGGTGTAAGTTAACACTATCTATAGTTTAAATAGTTTAAATAGTTTAAATAGTTTAAATAGTTTAAATAGTTTTTAAATAGTTTTTAAATAGTTTGAATTGTTTAAATTTAGTTTAAATAGTTTAGAATCATTTGGGAAAGCAGGACCGAGATGAGATGCAAATACTTATCTTGTTAACGCACCATTAGCATAAATATTTTGTGGTATGATTAGACATTATAGAATAAAGATTTAACCAAAGTATCATGGTTGAACAGGGAAAAATGAGCAGGAAATTACCGTAAAGATACATATGTTCTTTAGGATCGGTCGGACGTCGGAACATGTCCAACATTCTTTGTGTAATCACGAAACCACCGAATATGTTGATGAAGGAGACGAATGCTGCTGCTGCCGCTAGGGTCTGGACTCTGTAAGAGGAAGAGGTCAGGGTTCAGGTGAGATTATATTAGAGGTGGAAATTTCTGTCACAGTCCCATACTTCGAACTTAAATGTTCATATACAATTATACATGGCCATGGACTTAGTGTTGAAAAAAACCGGGTTACAGTACTAGCAATGTAATAAAGTTATCCTAACATCTAGGAAGCATAATATAATTAGATTATATATCATAATATCATATCCTCATGAAACACAATCTATATTATACTGCGGACATAGCGTTTTCTCTTTTTGTGTTTCTAGTCCATACTCGACCTCTATGTATTCTATCATTTACGATCTACACTCTGTATGTTATGTGATCTGACTTTGTTGCTGCAGTCTAGTTGTTTAGACTTGAGATGTGGAAATTTGACAGTTGAATCATGCATAATGTTAGTTATTTTTGTACCTAAACTAACGACCGCACGTGTTTCGTTTCAACCTTGTGTCATGAAATTTCATATATTGCTATATCATTGTACACCATTGTCGAAGTTTCGAAACTAGAATAAAGAAATAAAGGTACACAATCATTTCAGACACCTCTAAATGGAGGAATATCTCAAGAATGAGAAATATATCTAATATACGTATTGTGCGTCAACAGAAACACGTCCAATCATGCTACCTAAAGCCCCACAACACCCGCATATTATATCTATAAATATTGAAACCTGATCCGTCCTTTTATTATCGCCAGTTGCGCCGTTGCGGTCACCTTATGACGCGGTATATGCTGTAGCTGTGGAAGTAGCATTTTCTTTTTTAATGAACTTTTCTGTCATCCTTCATTTACAATCTACGCTCTGTGCTATGTGATTTGACTTTGTTGTTGCAGTTGTTTAGACAGGAGATGTGGAAATCAGACGGTTGAATCACGCATCATTTTAGCTATTTTCGTACGTATTTCGTTTCAGCACGTATTTCGTTTAAGCCTTGTCATGAAATTTCATATATTGCTATGTCATTGTCGAAGTTTCGAAACTTCAATAAAGAAATAAAGGTACACAATTATTTCAGAGATATCAAAATGGAGGAATATCTCAAGAACGGGAAAGATATCTACGATACGTATTGTGCGTCAACAGAAACACGCCCAAACATGCTACCTAAAGCTCCACAACACACGTATATTGACGTATACCCAGATGAAGATGAGCCCGGTCACAGTTTTAAAGACGATAAAAAACATCAGTTAGACTATGAGACCGAAGTTGTAGTTTATAGAGCACTGGAGGAGCTACTAGATGAAGATATAAACGTTCTACACAGTTTCGATTATACACATCATCAATATCGTTTATGCGATAAAAGTCATGTTAGAAAAGGGTGTATGGCTTGCCGAAAAACACCTAACAATCGCGAGGTAGAGTGCGATTTTTTGATCATAGGAAATAACTATTTTGTGATCATTGAAGTGAAGAATATGACAAGTTTTAGTGGATCAAAACAGCAGAATCCTGGATTAGATGAACAACAGCATAAGTTAGGATTGCAGGGATCATACAAGAAATCAGAAAAACAGAGGGAAAGAATGGTGAAATTGATCAGAAGCATTGAGAAACGCACAAATATCTCTCACTTCACTGCTTATCCTAACTTCACGTGGAAATACAGGACAGAATTTAATTTGAAACCTGATCAGTTATCATCGATTATATTCAAAGAAGATACAGAAGATTTTGCATCTTGGTGGAAAGGCAACGTTACAGATTTTAACATAGAAGTAGCTTTGAACTCTGACTTTCAAGCAAAACATGATAAAGTCAGGAACATGCTGCTTGCTATTTGGTGTACGGATAATAAGGGCCACTGTGATAAATCCAAGTGCAGTTTGGGATGGTGTATACAGGATATTGATGATAAACTGCGCAATGGAAATTTTACGTTCAGGGAAAATAATCCAAACGTTATTCCAGCCCCAGATGTCATTAAGAAGTACTTAGGAGTGAACAACCTCACTAAGAAGCAAGTTGAAGCGTACAATTCAGAGGAACACTTAGTTCTTATCAATGGGCCCGCAGGAACGGGTAAAAGTGTCATACTGATAGCTAAAGCAATACAGCGTGCTAAGTCGGATGCAAATAAAAAAATCTTATTTTTCGTTGATGACATCTCAGCTGAGGAAGGGGTTAAAACTGCTTTTGAAAAAACATGTGTACGCCACTGCACAATATCCAGCCGTGAAACTTACGAGATGACCACGTTGCAGATTGTTGAGATGATATCCTTGAAATTAGCTGATAATCAAGTTATCATAATTCATTATCCAGAATATTATGAGACGCAAGATGGCAAGCTAGAGCTCTGGTCGAATTCCGAAATCAGCCAACGGTTTTCAGAAATACTTACTTCACATCTTGATTGTGATGTGTTTTTAGACGATATGCAAGAAATGACACATTATAATAACGTTGATGAAACGAATACCTTTATGACAACGTTATGTTCTTTGCCGGAGGGCAACCGTTATATCTGGATAGTTCATGATACGGCACAGGGTAGTTGTTGTATACTAAAGCCTTCATCTATACAACAATCGAACTCCCTCTTTCACACAATTACTCTATCAAAGAACTTGAGAAACACATACGATATATCGAATAGTTTATCAGTAATAAGGGACCATATAGAAGAAGAAATAATGAGAAGAAGAGAAGGGCCACTTGATTCAAATGAGACCATCGTTAAACAAACACCAGGTCATTACATTCGTGGACCGAAAATCAACATACATGTTTTTAATAGCGGAGATGTTGATTTGATAGGCACTTACCTAGATAAAGAGTTAGACAAGCTGCAGCGGGAAAATGTTCTTACACCGTTAAATACAGCTGTGATACGTAATAGAGGCAGACTTAATGAAATGGTAACTATAAAAGTTGTAAAATATTGGAATGATCGGTCTGCTGATAACATACACTTGTTATATGGCTCACACATTTCTTCAGGAGAATGGCCAGCTGTCATTGGTATACTTGAATCTAAGGGTTTACGTAACCTGCCTGAACTGTACATAGCCATATCTCGAGCTAGAGTTTACTGTTCAGTTTTGCTATATCCACACCCTAATATGACGTTAGAAGAGATGGAACGATTATTATCAGGTGATTTCAGACACTGTGCTAATATCATGAGACATTATTGAGAATGAATATGTATTAATTAATGTAATTAAATATTGATTCCATGTGCACAATTGACACTTAATTAACTAATTAAGCTGTATTTTTGATATGAAATTAAAACAGTTATATTTCTTGTCTTATTAAATATATTGGGATTCATTGCTGTTTACATTAAGAAAGACTCTGTATTAATTTAGTATTGATTCCAAGCATATATTTAACTAACACACTTTGCTGCGTTTATTGAATATTGATACAACATAAACTTGGTTCATTTATTCTTGATTGATAAATACATGAGTTTTGTTGCTTTATACAGCAGGGTGTCAGAATTATTTGCGTGTTTGAAATGTTATATTGTGTATTTTATGATGAAATCAATATTTTTCAACAGGTCCTAACTTCACAAGTTTCTCAATATCGAAATTACAAAATTCAAAAACTGGTCAATAGACAATCGTTGGAACTTTTTCGTAGTTTTAGAATTTTGTGTTAATGTACTTCATAACTAATAATTTATGCCGTTATTTAGAGAGTCGATTCCAAAAACGATTAGATTTATGAAGGAGTAAGGGTTTTATGTGTAATTAGTTTCCAACATTTTTCTTTAGACTAACGTGTACAGCTCTTGAAGCAATAGCGAACCATATGAAAAACTATAGCTTTTATAAAAGCTCTCTTTCTCCCCTAATTGACGAAACAAAAATTATTCGAGTGGACTCATCCCGGAAATCAGGGGAAGCAGCCGAAGGCTTCAAGTCAAATAATCCAAATTTTTCTCTTTCGTCGTGATTATCGACAAAATTGACCTTCTTATTTAGACTGAACTGAAGTATAAAGGACCTCCTCTTGAATTATCAAGACTGCATAGGAAATTGACCCTCAGACGTCAAGAAATGATCGTTTTTAAAAGCTTGAGACTGAGTAAGCTACAATTTGACCCAAAATTGTCTACGCTCCAACAATTATGACACCCTGCAGTATTATGTTCTACAGTCTACACCATGCCATGTATTATAACCGGGGTCCACAATTGTAAATAAGTACCTTTTCAGGCCCCTCCTTACGTTAAAATTTCAAAGCCCGGTTAAATTTTGAAAAAGTTCAAGCAAAAAGATTAACCTGAAGGAAATTTGGCTTGGGAGAGGTTACGTCATACGTGTCGGTATAAGACACATGACACCCACGTGTTAGTACAAGTCACGTGCACACCACGTGTTAGTACAAGTCACATGCACAATCACGTGTTAGTACAAGTCACGTGCACACCCACGTGTTAGTACAAGTCACGTGCACACTCACGTGTTAGTACAAGTCACGTGCACACCCACGTGTTAGTACAAGTCACGTGCACACTCACGTGTTAGTACAAGTCACGTGCACACTCACGTGTTAGTACAAGTCACGTGCACACTCACGTGTTAGTACAAGTCACGTGCACACTCATGTGTTAGTACAAGTCACGTGCACACTCACGTGTTAGTACAAGTCACGTGCACACTCACGTGTTAGTACAAGTCACGTGCACACTCACGTGTTAGTACAAGTCACGTGCACACTCACGTGTTAGTACAAGTCACGTGCACACTCACGTGTTAGTTGGGAGATATCCACCACCCATAACCAGCAGTCCTCCCACAGCAGTGATACCGGAGATAGCGTTAGTGACGGACATGAGCGGGGAGTGGAGAGCGGGGGTGACACCCCATACTGTGTGGTAACCTGAGATGGGGGAGGGGTTAGTGGGGCTCGGGGGTAACACCCCATACTGTGTGGTAACCTGAGATGAGGGAGGGGGTTAGTGGGGCTCGGGGATAACACCCCATACTGTGTGGTAACCGTGATTACAGAAACATCAACAGTTCAAGTATATCTCCATCAATCAACTCATGTTAAAACATTAATCAACAAACTAAAATAATTCGTAGCCTGCGTACAATGTACATTCTCAAATCAAACTCCTAACCCCCCACTCCCCCCGGCGGCTGGCCCCGGTTCGGATCTACATACCACAGATTCCAGCGAGAGCGAAAGTAGTGCACATAGTAGTAAAAGCCGGATCCGGTGCATTAGCTCCGAGAGTAACTAATGTTCCCAACCCTGCAGCGTACATCATTGACGACGACAACGCATCCTTGAACGGTTCCTTCTCTTTAGCCTTGACAACAGCGGCGCCGGCGGCGGGTTTAGCGGCGACAGGAGACGGCTCAACAGGCGGTGGAGGCCACATCATTTCTCCTTGGTTGAGGATCATGCTGCCTCGCACCACTTCGTCTTCTAGATTTGTTTGGTGGACGTTGTCCTCTCCTGAGAGAAGAGAGGGTGATTAGTATTAGCTAATTACAATTACGATTAAATAATTAGCTAAATATTAGTTAGAGTATGGTGATTAGTATTAGCTAATTACGATTACAATTACAATTAAATAATCAGCTAATTAATAGTTGGAGTAGGGTTATTCTAAGTTGATGAATACTGGCGATTACAACCGCTTCTAAGTAATAGTATGACGTATTCACTGCATTAATTATCTTAACTGAAATAATTGATCAACTGAATGTGTGAGGGTCACTAGGTATGCAAAGTAGCATTCTTATCATTTCATTATATTCTGATTTTTATAACGTCTGGTATCATATCCATATCGCGATCGTCTGATATCGTATCGTGCTATACTAAGTTAACAGTCTATTACAAGTATTATAAGTACTAACAACACAGCACAGCACTGTTTTAACTAATATACACTAACACGATATAAATCGTAAAGCCGTACGTGTTTTTGTTGTCCATTACTACTGAAGAAATGTGTAGAATGTACTAGAACACGAGGGAGTAACATGATACTGTAAACAGTACAAGAATGTTGAGTACGGTGTTACGGACACTAATCTAATTCACATGTTTTCAATCTATTTCCTGCTCACAGACCAGGTAGACTGTCATAGTGTTACACACATGTTGTTATGTATTGTGTGGAGTGTTACAGTGTATACTTTATAATAGTATCTAGCTAATGTCTTAACTACAGTTGTTATATATTCAGATGTTTTCATCTTCATAATGAATGATCATAATTTTACATGTGTAGCAAGTTCAATAAAAAGCTTAAATGTTTACACACTGATATTGAGCTATGTTATTTAATATCAAGTGTTACTTGGCGCTGATGGAAAATGGGACCATTGCTTGTGAGCATGCAATGCTTGATAAATGAATAATATTAGCAGTACATTGATATAAGTTTCGAACAATCTAGAAGATCCAAAGCGAGTAACCGCACATGATAGAATAAGTCTAGTAAGCTAACCCATAGAAAGAAGAAGTTTGCTGAGATTGTTGCCGTACAGTGTAGAAGATTGTGTAGCCTGTCTGGAAGGAAGATCTGTGAGACCAATGTGAGTTACTCCGGAGTACTCGTATATTTCACCTGAGAAAGTGGGTTAGAAGTTTAACTTACAAGCTAATTGTAATTAATTACATGTTAGAAGTTTAACTTACAAGCTAATTATAATTAATCACAATATGTTAGAAGTTCAATTTACAAGTTAATTGTAATTAATCACAATATGTTAGAAGTTCAATTTACAAGTTAATTGTAATTAATGACAATATGTTAGAAGTTTAACTTACAAGATAATTGTAATTAATGACATGTCTAAGGTTGATAAATGATTACGTCTTGTTTTTATATCATAAACATCTTGAAATAATTCTGAATGAAGACTAAAGAGTCCTTCAAAAATTCACGTTTTATCATTATTGGGTATCACAGTCAATATTTGGACAGAACGTGGGTCGTGGCAAATGATGAGAAAAGTTAAGAAAAGTTAAGAAAAGTTAAGAAAAGTTAAGAAAAGTTAAGAAAAGTTAAGAAAAGTTAAGAAAAGTTAAGAAAAGTTAAGAAAAGTTAAGAAGAGCCGATTCACAAAAGACTGACCAGGTTTAGTAGTCTCAATGTTACCACCAGCCTCGGCTGCCAAATCAACGACCACAGAGCCCGGCTTCATAGACTCAATCATCTCTCTGAGGGGGTAAAGAGGGGTAAAGAGGGGGTAAAGAGAGGGTAAAGAGAGGGTAAAGAGAGGGTAAAGAGAGGGTAAAGAGAGGGTAACGAAGGTAAAGAGGGGGTAACGTGGGTAAAGAAGGTAAAGAGGGTAACTTGTATTATAAATGGTTATAAAGCGTTGCAGGGTAAAGTATTTAATTCAGGTTAGCAATGCTAGCATTATTTAATTAGCATCATTTAATTGGCCGCAGGCCACTATATTTGAGGGCAACCGGAAAAGTGAGGATGTTCAATTGAAAAGTCAGTTACCCAAATAAGTACATGATAAGCTATAATTGAATGGGAATAAGACTAGAACATCATAAAGCGATCAAAAATACATAGATAGACTAGCTTAGGCAGAGCAGATATTTATAGAACTTATTTACTAATTGATAGTTAATTAAATAATTTACCTGGTAACCAGATAATATACTCGGTACTTAAACCATTTATTTGGTAATTACTTGGTAATTGTGTCATTACTTGGTAATTACTTGGAAATAAGAACGGGAGCCTTCTTTCCAGGTATAAGAGCTGTAGTGATCAGAATATCAATCTCTTTGCACTGCTTGGCGAATAAGTCCATTTCCGCAGCAATGAACTCTGGGGACATTTCCTTAGCGTACCCCCCGGTTCCTTCTCCACTTTCCTGAGGGAGATTGTGATATCACATGGCCTTACATTATCACGTGACTCGACTTTGTTATCAATGCCTTGAAATATATAATATCTTTTTTAAATACCATTTTACTAGCGTGCTCATAAGTATTTCATATTCGAAATTAATTCAAGTATATAATATTTAAAAAGCAGGATAATTGAACAAAGATACAACAAGAAATCCAGAGATTAAAACTAATATGTAATAGTGTACAAACCTCAAGCTCAATAGTAAGGAATTCTGCGCCCATACTCTCAACCTGCTCCTTTACAGCTGCACGTGTATCGAACGCGCGCACGATAGCACCCATGTTCTTAGCCGTACCACACGCGCTGAGACCCGCCACACCTCCTCCAATTATCAAGACTTTAGCTGGTGGAATCTTGCCCGCTGCTGTGATTTGACCTGACAGAGGATATGTTTTTGTTTTTTTTGATAGTTTGAAGGATGTAAAGTCACGTTATAATGTAAGGCCACGTGATCGTTAAATTTATTAATATCCTTGATCAACCTATTCTCTGTATCCATCGCTTTTTATAACAAACAGTTTACCTCTCTTTACATTAGGGATCATTTAAAGAAAATGAGAGCATTAACTCTACAAAGGGAAGAGCGAAAAGTCGTCAAATTAAATGTGTATTAAACTAAATACCTGTGAAGAATCGTCCGAAATGATTAGCTGCTTCAATAACTGCTTTATAACCAGCAATGTTAGCCATGGAGCTCAGAGCATCAAATACCTGTCAAACAGAAAGTGGTCAGAAAAGTTGAATTGTTAGTCAGTAGTTCAGTTCAGGACCCTGAGAAAATGTCTTGATCTTGTTTAACCTAACGTTAACCTTATTCTTAATATCGGTGCATTCCAAACATACCTGAGCCCTACTGATCCTAGGGACAGTGTCCATACCGAAGACGGTCAGCTCTTTCTCCTGGAGGGCAGACAACAGTTCAGGGTTCTGAGCAGGGTACACGAAACTGATCAGGGTACTCTTGTTCTTCAGGAGAGGTATCTCCTCTGTTGAGGGTGCTCGCACTTTCGCGATTATGTCTGAAAAAGTGGAGAATATCAAGAAAATAGAATTTATAATTTAGGTGGTAAGCTAGTTTTTGTGTTGAGAGAATTTTACATTCAAGTTGGCAAAATCAGTGATAGTGAAGTCACGAGTATAAATTATCCTTACCTGACTGGAAAGCAGCTTCTCTGTCAACGATCTTAGCTCCAGCATCTTCATAAGCGCTATCTAAGAACTGCGCACCAACTCCAGCACCACTCTCCACGTTAACACTCATTCCCTTCTTGATGAGCGCAGCGGAGGCTACTGGGCTGAGTGCAACCCTCTTTTCTGTTCCAATCGACTCAGCGGGTACCCCTGGTGACGAGAAAGATAGTTACTCAATATGACCGGAATTGTAGTTAAATTTCAACTAAATAAGGCTCCGGATAATAAACGGGATTACAACAGAAAGATCAATTCAAAATGGCATTTTAAATATTAGCACTATGAAATAAACCACCAGGCCATGGTCACGTGATATTGTGACCTGATCCATGCTGGTCACATGATATTGTGACCTGAGCCATGCTGGTCACATGATATTGTGACCTGATCCATGCTGGTCACGTGATATTGTGACCTGATCCATGCTGGTCACATGATATTGTGACCTGAGCCATGCTGGTCACGTGATATTGTGACCTTATCCATGCTGGTCACGTGATATTGTGACCTGAGCCATGCTGGTCACATGATATTGTGACCTGAGCCATGCTGGTCACGTGATATTGGATTACACAGGATTTTTTTTACACAGGATTAAAATTAAATTATAGATCCATTATCATGGACCGTCATAATTATACAGAGATTAATGAAAACATTCATCTTTCCTTGAAGTCAGGGCCAGGGTTATCCTTAAATCTTAATTATGACTAATTCGCGAGGTTCTCACCAAGTTGATAGTAAAATTGTTTAAGTTTCGTGCATTTGAATTACGTTGACGCATATCTTCGGTGAAGCTATTTCGCTCTTCGGAGCAGCGAAGGAAATAACCTGATCCATGCTGGTCACGTGATATTAACTTACCGACAGTGATACTCTCGTAGGGAGTTCCCGCAGCTGCCCTGCACACCCGACTGGTGGAGAAGAGTCTCTTGTGGTGTCGGAGACACACCCGCCCGGTTACACCCGACAGCAGCGTCATTCTGTGGTACAGCTGTTAGTGTATTTAACACAGTGTTAGTGTATTTAACACAGTGTTAGTGTATTTAACGCAGTGTTAGTGTATTTAACACAGTGTTAGTGTATTTAACACAGTGTTAGTGTGTTTAACACAGTGTTAGTGTATTTAACACAGTGTTAGTGTATTTAACACAGTGTTAGTGTATTTAACACAGTGTTAGTGTATTTAACACAGTGTTAGTGTATTCAACACAGTGTTAGTGTATTTAACACAGTGTTAGTGTATTTAACACAGTGTTAGTGTATTTAACACAGTGTTAGTGTATTTAACACTGTTAGTGTATTTAACACAGTGTTAGTGTATTTAACACAGTGTTAGTGTATTTAACACAGTGTTAGTGTATTTAACACAGTGTTAGTGTATTTAACACAGTGTTAGTGTATTTAACACAGTGTTAGTGTATTTAACACTGTTAGTGTATTTAACACAGTGTTAGTGTATTTAACACAGTGTTAGTGTATTTAACACAGTTTTAGTGTATTTAACGCAGTGTTAGTGTATTTAACACTGTTAGTGTATTTAACACAGTTTTGAACAATAATTTGTGATTTATCAGACCTAGAGTCCTGAGCAAATTTATCAAAGCCGCAAGATCATCAAATCTGTAATTTAGCTTTTATTATACTTTAAAATGGTTTGAAGAAAACTCAACAACAGTTAATAGAAGGTTTAATGGGCATTTTCAACAAAAAATTCACAATTATATCAAAGTTTGTAGCAAATACCACGCATTTGGTACGAACTAGAATCAGCTACCTCTCATAACCAGTTATTACATAGTAAGCTACTGATGTAGTAATTAATTAATACTATTAATTAGTAACTTATTAATTAATTAACTAAATAGTGCTACTATTGTTAAAATCTCCCAATTAAACTCTTCCATATCTATCTTTGGCTCAAGCGCAGTAATCAGTGACGTGATATATGAAGTGTTATGTAAAAAGAACCAACATAAGTCACTGAAATTTTCAAGCAACAGTAGATAGCCTTATCGCATTCTTATCACAGGAAATTATGCAATGATTAAAAAAAGACTTAACTGCAACATTTCCAATCCTGTACTACGTTGTATAATGGCGATTTGAATAGAGTGGCCAAACAATTTGTAAGACTTTAATTTAAATCATTCAATTCACATGTCCACGAATGTTTCAAATTAACAAAAAGTACATTCTGAATATCATATTATGTCAGTCTTGATTCAACTTTCACTCAGTTTTGGATTTGATCTTGATCTTCATTTGGATTCTTCCTTGGTAGTCTCTTTTTGCTGCTTTGATAGTTTCAGCATAGTCCATCTTTTTTCGTTAAGCTCTTCGAGCAGTTTGTCTGTGGTGGGTCTTGGAATGGGGTCATCTGGGAGACAGTGTTATGGTGGTTACTTAGATTATTACATACAATTTATGAAATATTAATTATTTGTTGCAATATTGTCACTAACATCATCTTCACTCAGGTTACATTTCAACAATGATTTATATCAGTAAATCAGTTAAATTTGAAGTAAGTTTTCACAAACGGTCATAGCTGTGCTTTTTTGGATCCTTATGTTCAGTCTTGCTGGGTTGGTTTCCCCACTTTCGCTGCAGAACATTAGTCGACGAAATAGTGCGGACCACCATGCGGGGAATCGTCCCACAACTTAGGCTTCTTGTTAACATCGGCATACACTTGTAAATGTTTTACATATTAGTGAACTGACATATCGATAAGGTCAACAAAAACGGGCAATTCGGCTAATATTTTCTGTAGTCGAAAAGTTCAAAGCTTTTAGTTGTGAGTTATTCACTTATTTACTGTCTAGGTAAATTTTTTAACTGTACATCTACATTTTTCATCAGCAATTTAAAATCCCTGTATAGTATGAGGTACAAACATAGAAAATCAAAAATGACAAAGGTCAGGAAAATAAATTATTAGTTTACAAATATGCTGTTTTTCATAATTCACTGGAGAGTCACAATTCAGCGGAGCAAGCACTGCAATCCGGCTGCAAATTTGCATTGGATGTTAAAAATTCTAAAAAACAGTGATCTGCACGATCCTTAAACTTCAACAACTACCACAGACATTTGATAGTAATATCATCTCCTATCAAACAAATCCCCATACGTTTCACTAATTGTTTCAGAGGCATACGATGAACCTTCTTCATAAGTACCATTCATAAGATTTAATGCAAGTCCACCAATGGCACCCAAGCCCAAGAACTTAGAGCAAGTAGCAATTCCTCTAGTTGATTTATAAAGCGCGCCAGTAACAGCACCACCACCAATGTCATTCCATATATCATCTTTATCCCTCAATTTGCCAATACAACCCGTACTTGCTGTGTAAAAAAGAGCTAACACAGCTAGACTGTTACCAACAAATGTTCCACGTTTTGTGATTGAATTAAGGCAATGGTTTCGACGTAAGATTTTCGATGTATTATCAAACGTGCGTGTATGCTCAAAAAATCCCCATAACCCGCCTCCAGCTAAACCAGAGATGTAACTACTTCCTATCCCAAAGAACATGATATCTGACAACGACCTCTTCTTCTTTTCGTCGCCTGAAAAAATGTTTCTTTTGCATTTAGTTCAATTAGCTTCAGTAATAGTCATGTGAAATCTAATTAAAATCATCACATTAAGTACATTATTTCATGAACTAAAAGAGGCATTGATTTATAAATTGATATTAAGAAGTTATTGCTTCAAATAACCTGCAAAAACATATTGAGATCCCTCTAAATCTTCAGCATGAATTTTTAGTGCAAGATGTTGGTAATGTTCAGGAGGTGGGGTGAGAGGGATGGAGCCAAGATTGGCATAGTCATTCTCTCCAGTCATGACTGCAACCTTCTTAGAGTAACAATGGTTAAGACATTATTGTTGGTTCACACTTTCTTTTAATAGAATAATGAAATCAGTGTGTATCAGTTCTATGGTTAACAGTGCACTACAAGTAGTTTCATCCATATTATGGCTATGAAGCCATGACCAAAAATTAGAACTTAGAAAATTTATCAATTCCAATATTTTTGAGTGCAAATGGATGGCGGTAAAAATATCGGATCTAACAAATCTCCTAGCCATCACTGTAATAAATTTAAATAGAGTTTACATAACACTCAAGACACTGCACTGCACCAACAAGACTCAAATAAACATCAAATGCAAATGTAGAGGTTAAGTATGAATCCTCTGCTAAACTAATCTATGTCAAAATAATAATCAACCAATACTAGTTATTATATAATCTTTAAAAACATCATTGCATTAACAAAGCATAGTTATGGGCCCACCGTACCATAAAAAACTCTATACATGATTTATATGTGCACTAGAAACCTAGCCTGCTGGTCATAATGCAGTAATGTTCTCTGTATTTAAATAAATTTAAAATCAGTTTTAATTTCTCTCTGTAAATTACCTCCGTTTAGTTAACAGTATGGATTTTGTTTGACGAGATTTTCAGTCTGGAAGAGCAGGGAATTCCACATTTGGCGATCCCCAATTGTTCTAGAAATCTAAGATTTCTCGAGGTTTGCAGTGAAATTGTAAAAATGATAAGCTCAAGCTTGTGAGGAAGATTTGTCTATATAAAGGCCCTCCCACGCCAAGCTGGGGAGTTTAGTTCTTATACTAGACGATTAAAGTTCCAGCCATTAGTATATGTACACGGCCTTATCCAAGCCTGTAATAAATGGAGAGGCCCTACTAACTGAATGGATCGATACCTCATAACTCATTAACTCTTTTGATTGATCGAAGACTTTAACGCGACATTTAAGTCAACTCTTAGGCTGCTTTTATGTATCACATCTCAACCAGTTAAAAATCATTTAATAACACTGTTGTTCCACCTTGATATTTAGTGACACACGGTGTTGAAACTTAATGTTTCATCGTAATTCAAAGTTAGAAATCTCAACCATAGTTCGGTGTGTTACTTTGTATGCACTCATAAATATCACACGACCCCTACGGTCGTTTCACTATCGTCCTGACGATACAGGGGGAGCCGCGCACTTCGTGCGCGGCGGGTCATACAACGTATGGCAAAATTTACTTTACAGTCGATTTTAGCAATTGTTCTAAAAGGGCCCCTGACAGTGGAAACCAACTTGAATTTATGACGGATGTTACTCGTCTAAATTTCTTCGAAGTAGCGCGCGCCGGGCTTGTCCATTAATAATGGCTTGTCCATTAATAATAAACAAGCTTGAATCGATATATTTTCAAACGCAGATTCCAAATTTGGAGGACTTTGCCGCTTCGATGTTCCGAATTTGACGGATGTTACTCGTCTAAATTTCTTCGAAGTAGCGCGCGCCGCTTTCTTTTCGAAATGTTATGCACTGGCCCGATGGAAAGTGCTACGAAGTAGCACGCGCCGGGCCTAATCATTAACAATGGTCAAAAACTGCTTCTAATTATTGCTGCTGACTGCTGCTGAGTGATGCTCATGGCGCGCGCGACATGAGCTGTGGGATTGTGAAATTAGTAAGCTATATCAATTAATTTTGTAAGCTCCCCTGTAAAATCTCTACACTATATAATAAAGAAACGCAAAACGACAGTGGGGGCCACAACGTGATACAAAGCATTTACACAGCTAGCTAGTATAGCTATAGCACGGCCACGGTCGAAATTTTTAATCGCGACCCGAAATTTGTTTTATTTTATATTTGAAGACACGCGCGCAGCTAGCCATAAAACTATAAAAGTTGCTTCATTTTATAAAGTTTATTTATATTAAATTGGTAATGTTTATGTATTTCACATATATATATATATATACATATGACATAGCCATGCGTTTACGCGTACTGCGTGCACAGGAGGGGCAAAGTGAGCAGCATGGTGAGCTTAATTGTCAATTGACGATGTCAATTAAAATTCATCGCAGCTCGGCGAGGCACAGTAGCGCATCTCGCCGATCTAGCGATTCGGCGGAATGACAGGCTGAGCGCCGCCCAGTAAGTCTTGCCCTTGGTAGGTTATAAACCTTGCTCTAACCAGAGCCCTCTCGCTTGCAGTAGCGCGCGTCACGCAGTACGCGTATACACATGGCTATGTGAATTATAAACCTACAACCATATCGTGGCCGTGGCTTTCTTTATTAATAATGAAATCATGATGACATGATGAGGATATGAGAATGGTGATCACCTCGACACTTACTGGGCCGCGCTCAGCCTGTCATTCCGCCTAATCTCTAATGAACATAATAGCCTGAGGTCCCCAGGTAACTCGACACCTCATGTGTTGTGAGACAAAAATCTAATCATTTGTTGCGAAATTATAATGTATAAGAACTTAGTTAGCTTAGATAAACACAAATTCACGAAAATCTCCATAATCTCTTTTTCCATATTTTTCTGCAATTGGCAATGCAATAATGAATAATTCTGCTCAATTTTTCATTAAAAATATAAATTCAATGTTTATAGGTATACACCATTAACATTACGGCATAACATACAATTCTATCATATGTTCATTTAATTGTTCATGATATACTAGACTGAATAGTGAATATTGTACATCAACATGCATATTGCATATGTGACATTGTGACAGTATAAATATAATTATAACAACAAAGTCAAAAGTTATACGGTGTATTGATTCAATAAATTAATTTCAGCCTTTAAAACTGAAATCTATCACTCAGACTTCAGTCCCATTATATTAACAGTTTTACTACCATTAATATTATATCTAATCAGCTTCATTTCTATTTACCTTATTAATATTGGTCATAATTATCACGGACGTTATTTTTACGCTGAATTCCGGTAATTATTTCCATTAATTTTAGTGTGTGTGTCCCTACATATGCATTATGCGTAGATATGATGTGTAGCCGATTACTGTATTAGCTTATTAGTATACTATGACAAATATAATCACTCCTCAGTCACATTCTAGAGTTCAGAAAAAGAGTAAAACATTTATTTAAAAATCACCAAAAGTTTTCACAATTTTTTGGAAATTTTTGGGCGGTCATGAGCGTGAATAATAATGTCTGTGAAAAATCTGGGCCGTGAAAAAGTTATCCTTGATAATTATGACCGATAAGGTAGTTTCACCCCATAACATCATCTTGTTCAACTTGACTGACTCCCTTCTCGTATTCCTCGCTGAATTTAGTTACTATAATCGTAGCGGGCAGAGCTATCAAAACCAATGCTAGAAACACCGCAATCGTTCCAACAATCTGAAAGGTTTGGTTATTAGTGAAATAGAGAAATATTGTAACACCGAAATGGTAAAATAGTGAAATAGTGAAGCAGTGAACTTTGTTGTTTTTGTGAGACGAGGACATTGCTGTCAGCTGTGAGCTTGTACTTAAGCTACCTACCAAGAAACACAATATCAATACAGTCAGAAACTACGCGAATGTACATCACGTGACACTTACAATTAACCAATCAAGAACCAGTTAAAGTTTACAACTCTACCTTGCCAGGGAATGTCTCAGGTACCATATCTCCGTACCCAACAGTAGTGATTGTGATAACAGCCCACCAGCAGGAGTTGGGGATACTATTGAACTTGCATCTCATACTCATCTCTCTACCTTGTCTACTGCAAGCTTCTGCTACTTCCTGCATGTATCATTTTGTTAAGTTTTTATTATACCTTCCCTGATAACTGTGTTGTAACAACACAGTTATCAGGGAAGGTATAACATAAAAGCTTAACAACACTGTTGTTAAAGAATGAAATGTATAATCAAGTTTTCCTGTGCAGTTTATATTTATTTCAAATGTTTTTCAAGTACAATTGTAGTCGTGATAAAAGCTGAGAATGAACTAACATGACTGTATTCAACGTAGTACATGACGGATCCAAGCAACAGAGCCGAGAGAGAAACCATTGCTGCGAGCAACAGCAACTCTTTCGTAGTCCTGGATAGCGCTCTGACCAGGACTAGAAGAGCCTCACATCTTCTTACTAGTTTAAACACTCGCGTTACTCGGAATATCCTGCATATCTTGTTGTGTTTTTAGAAATATTCCACGAAAATTGTAGGAATTCATGTTTGAAGTTGAAAAATTGACCATCAACGTTTATGACCTACTAACTCACTGACTCACTGACTCACTGACTCACTGACTCACTGACTCACTGACTCACTGACTCACTGACTCACTGACTCACTGACTTACTAACTCACTGGCTCACTGAATCACTGGCTCACTTACTCACCGACTCACCGACTCACCGACTCACTGACTCACTGACTCACCCACCGACCCACTAACTCACTGGCTCACTGGCTCATTGACTCACTGACTCACTGACTTACTGACTTACACACTGGATGACTAGTAACTGACTTACTCTTAGGACAGTGTATAATTCACTGGAATTTTCATGACTTCTTTGATGCTCTATAGTCGATGCGACGTTCGTCTTAGACATGGCAACCATAACAATTTCCAAATAAAAGGGAATGACCGAGAGTAAGTCAAACCAAGGTAGGTATAATTTGAAGAACCTGAAAAATTTTAAATATTTCTTACCCTGAACTGTAATTTTTAAGAAAGTCTTCAAAATTTTGAAAACTTGACTCCTTTGTGATTTCATTTTCAACATTGCAATATCCACAAAAAACAAATCTTCGTATTTAATCTACGTATTTAATCTTCGTATTTAATCTACGTTTCAAATTCACCAGTACCATATATCAAAACATACCATAAAGTCACCAGTGCAGTATCAAAACATACCCTAATGTCACCAGCTTACCAAAACATACCCTAAAGTCGAGGGATGAGCGATGATTCTCAAAACGTAGTCGAAGGTAAAGTAACCCATTATCACGGAGTTAGCTGCGAACGCGAACTTATGGGCTTCTTGTCCATTCTCCGCGAAATATTTCTTGTAGGTCGGTTCTGGTTAATGTTATTTCTTGAGAATTAGGCATCATATCATGCTGTTTACGATTCATAATAAAATCAAGTTGTCATTTAAGTAAGAATACACATCTAAGCGAAACAAATAGAAGAAAAAAGTGATGGACACGACTACTGACTTCTTTTTATAGTATTACCACCTACATGAGAATGCAGAAATGATACCTTGTCAAACGTCTGGCCGTATAATAACTATTCAACTAATCCACATAGCTAAGGTTTAAAGATATAGCATGTACCTGATTCGATGATAAGCATGATGACTGATAAGCCGATAAGTAGACAGTCTACCCACGCTAACACATTCGCAGAGGAGGACGAATTGGCAAAGTTCAGCAAATTATACAACTGAAACACAAGGAAATTTTATATCCAGATCACAGAAATATATTTTGTCAAATGTTAGAAAGGGTTATGATTTTTCATGGCCCGATACTCCTGTAAACTAAAATGGTAGTTTTGGCTTTTTGTGTGCCATTTTATATGTACCTTCTCTCGCTGACTTGGATCTACTGATTTTATCGCTTTAAGACTAAACCCATCACTGCTGTTAGCAGACAACCTGAGGAAATACGGCTATTATATATCACGAAAATAAGGATACAAAAATAAGGATACGCGTCGAATGTCGATGGCAAGCAGTAACATTCAATTGCAACGTGCATCACAATCATTTTATGTGATGAACAATTTTGATGTGGTTACAATATATAAGAATGTAACACGTCTGTAATCGTTAGAACATACCACAGTGATACAGAGTCAGAATATTAAAATATACATTCTAGTTAATATAGGCGAAATGTTGAAATAAATATGAAAGACACACTACACCTGTAAAACTCTAATTCTCTTCTAATCACTACTGGATCTTCTATCGCATGGGATGGGTATCTGAATACACCTGACACATTATTAGGTAGTTAATAAACCAAACCATGATTGTTGTCAGTAACGGATTGTTGCAAACAACTATAAAATCAATTCGTAATAGCGTAGCACTTAAATATTGAGACAAACCAAGCGACTATAACAGAGCCTAACATTAATATCGTGTGGATGATATACTACTCCTCTTAAGCACATGGATCAGCTTGTTATTGTAGGTAAGCGGACCGAATCCCTAACGGATAAAATCACTTACGTTTAATAACTGCCTGTTAGTTGGGATAGTGTCAGGATTAGAGGTGGGGTTAGTGTCTGGGTTAGGATTTGTTAGGGTAATTACTAATTATAGTTCGTTAGGGATTCGGTCCACCAACCGTTACTCAAACTTTACCTCCTCAAAACAACACATTCAAATACCTTTCAGCTGATAGAACTGTTGGACAGATACAAAGAACTCTCTGTTCCTATCAAAGTAGTAAGCGTTGAGGTCATCCCTCCAGAACCTGTTCTTGTCTGAGGATCCTAGAAGGGTGTCGGGAAACATGTTCAGGTTTTCTGTTCTGATTAGGAACACTCGTCCGGATACGTTGAACCTGAACATTTTCCTGTGAAATTCACGAGCATGTATCTTTGTAACTCCGAACTGGTGTTGGATATTGACCAGTTGGTTTTGGCCCAAGAACCTCAACCTGACGAACTAACACAAAAATTTCGACAAGTATTAACAAGCTACTTGATATAAAGGAAACATCTCCTATAATGAATACCAACCTGACAATTATTCACTGACCGTGTAAAGTCCCGCACTCTGATCTTGTTTTCATCTAGATGATCACGTGACACTTTCACAGTGTTCAAGACAAAAGTTGACCGTCCAGGGGTTGCTGATTTGTTTAGTCCAGCAGTGAATGCCATGAAGCTCTGCTGAACGATTTATAAACTTTGAATTATACTTTACTACACGTATTTAAGACCGTAGACTCGATTTAGAGCGGGCCGGTAAATCAAAATACTCATAAAAATCATTGATTTTTGATTGGTGAGCTAATTATTGAAAATTTATAAAAAACCATCAATTCTAAATCGGTGCACTATGTCTATAGGGTTTCAGAAACATAAATGTTGACAACAGAGTTTATAGTTATACCTTATACTCTTCAGTGTTTAGTGACCCTGACAACGAGAAGAAAAAAGACACAACCAGCAATATAACATCGCCCTCAGAAAAGTTAACATCATTCAACTTTAGTAAAGAGGACCTCATCACAGCTATTGATGAAATTGATGCTGACTCAGCAACATCTGATGGGGACATTCCAGCAAGGATACTGAAAGCTTGCAAACAACCGCTTTCAGAAGCCCTGATGATCATTTGGGAGAACTCCTTCAGAAATGGTCAAGTTCCTTCAGTCTATAAGGAACAATATATCACACCAGTGTTTAAAAAAGGAAACAAAACAGACCCGGGAAATTATAGACCTGTCTCGTTAACTTCCCATATGATAAAAGTGTTTGAGAGAGTACTAAGAAAGAACATGGTAGAGCACTTGGAGTCGAATCAAATATTCTCTGAGAAGCAACACGGCTTCCGGAAAGGTAGAAGCTGTCTTACACAGTTATTACAACACATGGACTACATCCTAAACAACTACCTAGACAGCTCCGAAACAGACGTGATATACCTTGATTATGCTAAAGCCTTCGACAAGGTGGATCATTCCCTACTTCTTAAAAAGGTTAAGTCGTATGGAATACAAGGTAATCTGTACAAATGGATTGAGCAATTCCTCCTTGATAGGACTCAAACGGTCATTGTTGATGGAAAACATTCTAGGCCAATGCCGGTTATCAGTGGAGTACCGCAGGGGACTGTACTTGGTCCAATCCTCTTTCTTCTTTACGTCAACGATCTAGATCAGTACGTGAAAGATTCCAAACTTAGCAGCTTTGCCGATGACACCCGAATAGGCAGAAAAATATCGACTTTAAACGACTGCAATCTTCTTCAAGAAGATCTAAACAGAATCATACGTTGGTCCGAGGACAACAACATGAAACTGCACGAAAACAAGTTTGAACTTGTTTGCTATAGAACACCGGCCTCTAAATCACTTTCAGAGGAGCTGCCATTTATGAGTGACATCACAAACTACACCACTCCAAATGGATCAGTCATAGAAAGAAGCCCATTAGTGCGTGACCTAGGAGTCAACATGTCCGATGATTACTCCTGGACACCACATATCAATATCATGGTTGACAAGGCACGTCAGATGGCATCTTGGGTTCTTGGAGTATTCAAAGACAGGACAACACCTGTTATGCTCCAGCTCTACAAATCCCTGATAAGGTCCAGAGTGGAGTACTGCTGCCCGCTTTGGAATCCAAACAAGATCTATGATATCCAGTCTATCGAGAGCATACAACGCCAGTTCACTAAACGAATTCTAGGGCTCAGAGACACCGATTATTGGAATAGACTGAAGGAACTGAAACTTACATCACTGCAAAGACGCCGAGAACGTTACACCATCATACATCTGTGGAAAGTTCTCCAGGGTATATGTCCAAATGACCTAGATGTACAGTTCAGAGAGAATGCCAGACTGGGAGTTAAAGTTATACTATTACTCCCTTCTCTCACAAAAAAGCATCAGCTGCTGCACGCTCCACCTACGACCACTCATTCGCAGTGAGAGCTGGAAGACTCTGGAATGTTCTCCCCAAAATTGTCAATACTCAAAGGACTTTGACAAGCTTCAAGACATCTCTTGGAAACTTCCTAGACACCCTTCCAGACAAGCCCCCTACTCCTGGATACAGTGCAGAAAACTCTAACTCGATAATAGACTGGTGCAGTCAAGGAGGTGGTCCGCAGATTGCGTGATGGCCGTGAAGATGCCTACTTCTAAACCTATCAATAGGTTCAATAGGTTCAATAGGTTCTTACATAATTGCTGCCGAATTAATTAAGTTTCTATTCGTTATACTCAATCCGAAAGAATATCCTAATCAAGTTATAGCTTAAATTTGAAATGAATTGAAACCAAATTGATCCCATATTTTTTTCGGCTAATATCACATTTATTGCCGTTTGATTTTGATCGTCCAAATATCAACGTATACTCGATCATGACAAATTCCGAATCAATCAAAAATTTGTAGGTAAGCAAATTTCAGAAGAGACTGCATTGCAGCCAAACATTGCCGCCATGTCAAACGCAAAAATAATAAGTGCAGTGACATGATTTTTCAAAGGAATTGGTTTAGTATATTATTTCACGTAATCGTAATGTGATTAGTACTACTACTAGTAGACGTTGAGTTGTTATGTCACTCTTCCTGTCTGCTAGACGAGCCGAGAAAGCATTTTTAGGTGTTCTGCCATGCAGTGGTAAATAGTTGTATTGCAATGCGCTGCTATTTGGTTTGCTACTTACATTGAGTATTTAGTTAACTAAGTGAGCACCTATTATAGTCCGAATTTCCAAAACACCCTCCGGCCTCCTCCGGTCCCGGACGTCCGGATTTTCCAGCAGCTTTTAATTATACAAATGAAAACAATTTATTAGATTCTTTGGTATAAAAAATGCAGGTAGTGTATTTACCTGGGGACCTCAGGCTATCATGTTCATTAACATATTCGCCGAATAGAGATTCGGCGGAATGACAGGCTGAGCGCCGCCCAGTAAGTAGTGTATACTATTAATATACTATATATTTGTATCAGTTTTTAATATTGTTGCAATTGCCAATTTTCCAATTTTCGCTTTACTATTAAATTGTAAATGAATTTCTGCACGTCAAAACCACCCCTTCCTGAATTACAAAATACCCCCCCCCCCCCCCCCTTTATATTTTTATATGCCGGACCCGGCCTAAGTAGGTGGCCCCTTATTTTTATGGCTGCACGACTTCCAGGCCCCTCGGCTGCACGACGTCCAGGCCCCCTCTATTATTAGGGGTCAGATCATATGACGTATAATTAGTGATGTGACGTATAATTAGTGATGTGATCCACCAACTACGATTAACAGAACATGTGAACTCTACTCTACATCTAGCCCAGTTTTACCCCTTACTTTTGATTTAAATTAACAAGTCAATACACATTTTTCGTAGGATAATTAATCAAATTTATTGAATACTGAATACTGAATACCCAAGGTAAGTCTTCTCGAAATAATTAACTATAGACATTAGCTTAGGAAAGTTTGTCTGTATATAGTACGTTATTTCATAGAATACTTCCTCAACATCAGCCACTGGAACGAAAGCAAGAAACACAACAATTCTCTGGTAAACAGTTTATCTGCAAAATAAATCTTCTTAAAATTTTTCTGGATGTTCTTTTGAACAGCTTGACAGAGGTGGACGAAGCTTGACAGAGGTGGAAGAAGCAATTGCTAACATCCCACCCTGGCAAACTCTTCAAAAAAGCATTCATCACTGCTTTCTCAAAATCTATTAAAATAGTACCAGTGTCTACAGGACAATGCTGGTCAAAATAGTGCTTAATAACATCTAAAACAAATTCATAAGTGTCCCCTTTCTTGTCACCACTTAAAATATAAACCAAAGGAACACATTTGTTGTCTACAACTGATTGGATGGTGTAAGACTGAGGAAAGATCTTCGGTGATACATAGAAAGTGCCGTCTGCGATCCATTTTGAGTGCTCCGATAGAGTCTCCGTGTTCCTGCAAATGTTTGTATAGGTATGAGAGGAGATCGCAGTCACAATAATTGTCATGTGCTTAAATAAATACGTAACATGGATAATATTACATATCGTTCACATATTACGTAATCAGCTGAGGGGGGGGGGGGGGTTCCGAATGATTACGCTAGTGTAATTTTGACACAATAGCTATGTGTAAAACTGATTACAGAGGGGGGGGGGGGGGGGTAATAATGTTCCAAAAAATGATTACGTAATATGTGAACGACCCTTAAGGGTCGCTCGAAGCTAACGGTGGAGGTCTTATTTTGACAAAACTTGGCTCACGTACGATGACGATCCCTTTCTTGTTTCAATTATTGTCCTTCTAGTTCTGGTCACAGCTGATCTGTGAGGGGCCGTGCTAGCCTACTAGCGCTAGGCCGGCTATATAGTAGGCTGCGCGCGCGCGTGGATAATACATAACGGTGCGCAAAAAGAGTGGTATTTTCCTCGTTACAAATGTACCGCGGATTACGCAAACCAAATATTATTTTGGACCACAGGAGGACTTTTCACCAATCTGTCCCAAGTTAAGGGTCAAAAATGAAGTGTTTTGAGCAAAAACTTACAATTATTTTTTCTGCAAAACAAAAATGAAATGATTCAAACTTTCCAGATAGTAAGATGAGTATGGGAGGGACACACTGTGAAATTCTGGATGAATGTGGCAAATTTGAGATAGTTTCTTGTGTTTGAAGTGATATATCAAATTTCGCACATAAGATTTCATCAAAAATTACACAGTATGTCCCTTACACCTCACAACCATTTTATTATCTGCAAACTTTGAGGAAAATTGTATATTACAATTTTGAGGAAAATCTACTTTCTGGTAATCTTTTTGTGCTCTTATGAGTGGGTCAATCATTTATTTTTAATTGTAGTTGACGAAGTGAGAGTCTCCACTCAGTGTGTGGAGACTCTCACTTCGTCAACTACAATTAAAAATAAAATATACTTTCGTCGAATATTTTCCCGCGGATCAAATGGAACGGAAAGTCCAACTCTTGGACTGTTGGCAAGATTCCGTGACTTACTTAACTACAATAAGACTTGAATTTGGGACTGGGAAATTAATTTCCCAGTCTCTTGAGTCTTGATAAAACACCTTTACCGAAACCCTTATAAATTTACAGTAATGCCTCTAAAATTGTTGTCCTAGGAAAGTTATGTTGCGTTGATAAGTATTGATTTGCTTTAGTTGATCAAGCAGTACTTATACAAGCAGAAGATTTTTCTAGGGAGGAAAAAAGCTTTCAATGGGCACACTAGAAGATCTAAAAACGTGAAAAAAAAGCGAGAACAAAATAAAATAGACTAAAATTCCTGAACCTCAATCATGAATAACGGAACGATACCGTCATTAGTAATACATAAACATAAACATCATTATACAGGTCTTTATTATTGTCACGTAGCCACTATTAGTGAAATATGCAAAATATGCAATCATAAAAATCAAAATTAAACATTCGCATATCATCATATATTCGCATATCATTATATAACTGAAAACAACGTCCTGCGTTGTCGTTCTTTAATCTTTTAATACAGATACCTTTCAAATTTTGTGATTTATGAAATCTAGCTCTTACTTCGTTGTATGTATATATCATATATATAATATTATGAACAAATTTGGCAATTTTTAGAAATTTTAAATAATTTAAGAGCCCCTTTTGAAACATGTACTCTCTCCTGAAACGGCCTAATATTTAGCTTTAATGTCGTTAGAAACAAATAGAAAATCTTCACGTTACGAATTACATGTCGTGCATTCCTGAGTATTCGAGCATTCCTTAAAACTGTACCACAAAAATCAGTGATTCAAACTTTAACCACACACGTACACACAGTTTATTATTTCACCACAAAACATTACATTATGATTCCTGGAACCCTGCCAGCCATCCCGTCACACCACGTGACATCACGTGATGACCTCACATGACGTCACATCCCATTTAATGAAAAATCACTTCGACACATCACAATATTTCTAACCCGATTTTATACCCGTTTAATCAATGACCGGTGTAATAAACTGGTGGGATATCGTTAACCTCGCTGGCGGTGTCGCTACTGCAATCTGTAGAGGAAATGGCGCGGTCGTCCGCACTGGTTACATCGCTACTGCACTCTGTTGGTGACGGGGTGTAGTCGGGTGTCACGTCAGCTGTAGAGGTGTTAGCGGGAGAACTGTTAGTGTACTCAGACGAACTGTTTGTGTACTCAGACGAACTGTTTGTGTACTCGGACGAAGTGTTATTCGTACACTCAGAAGTGTTATTCGTACACTCAGAAGTGTTATTCGTACACTCAGAAGCGTTATTTGAACACTCAGAAGTGTTATTTGTACACTCAGAAGAAGTATTGGATAAACTATCGCTGTACCCGTAACGAGAGTGGCTAACAGTATTACGCTTCAAAGCTACGTGATGATTAAGATAATCTTTACTGTTCAGACTGTTTTCGGGTATTAAAGGATCAGATTGTGAGCTTTCTGTGGAGGTAATATCCGAGAGTGGGCTATCAAAGAAGGATATGCCACCAGGAAGTGGACTTCCTAGTGGAGGAGGGCTGGTGCCGGAGAGCGGGCTATCATCGTATAACAAATCAACTGTATCAGGAGGACTATCAAATTCAGGGGAAGTAGGAGAGGTGGGACTGTCAAGAGAAGAAATGGAGGATCTAGCGGATTGTTCCTCGACCGCGTCCACAAACTGGTCGTCCTCTTCCTCGTTGCTGTGCTGGGTGCTATACGATTCAGTGTTACCCGGCGATGCTGCCAGAGATATATCACCTTTGTTAATGTAAACTCCAATGCTCTCATCCCATCGCTGTTTTAATTTAATGTAATGTCCTGAGAAGAAGCCAAATGTTTTAGTAGGGTCAGGCGGAGGCGCCATAGGAGGTGATATGATAGGCAGGGCACGACGCTCCTCAGGTTTGGTAACACTGTTAGAGCTGTGGTTATTATTATTACATTTCTCTCGCTCCTCTTTTTGGAGCTTCATTGCAAGTTCATAGTCTGCCTGCTCCTGTTCTGAGCGACTTATCGCAGATTCACCCTCGATATCATCACCCTCCGGTGAAAGTGGACATTGATCTGCGTTTTTGTGGGCTTCTAGATTGCGGACAGAAAACGCTTCGATTTCTGCGAGGAGTTCCTGCATAAGATCGTCATTATTGGAGCGTTTCATGACGTCAAGGTGTAATCGGAGGAGCTTGTGGTTTATTGCGTATGCGCACTTTAGCGCCATTACTCCAGCCAAACTGAGGGGAGGAAATAAATTAAATGAATAAATTAAGTTCAAATTTATGTATCACTTTATCAGTAAATAAAGGTCAGCACATACTCTCTCTTACATTGCGAGTTATAACCAGTGTGATCAGTTCAATAAAATAACAGATAAAACTTAAATAAACGAATGATTTCAAACACACTACAACTATAATATACCTGATGTTATTCTCCCTTAGATCCAAGTGTATAAGAGTGGTATGATCCCCAACAATCTCTGCCATTACCACAGCACCCTCGTTGGTGATATTACAACTTGCCATGACGAGCCGCGCGATGGACCTACTGGAGAGGAGGCCCTCTTTTAGACATTCCACTCCTTTGTTACCCAGAGCGTTAGATCCCAAGTTTACTCCTTCCAGTGTGGTGTGGAACGCCTGTAGTTGTAACTTTGTTATAATATGGCTGTTAGATTTTTTATTATATTATTATTATATGGCTGTTAGATTTTTTATATAAATGTAAAAAATTGTGTAAGCTTTTTAAGGACAGCACTGTGTGAGTTGGCTTAAACTTTTTTAGGTTATGAAAATCGAGAGCTATCGTTTGAGTTGTTTTAGATTGTATTATTTGAGTTTGAACTAACTTCTTAAGATCTCAAAGTTAAGCTAACTTAGTAACTTAAAACGCAAATTAACTATCAATTAACTATCAATTAACCAATTAGAACACATACCAGAGCTCTACCGAGAGCGGACATGCTATTTGCTGTTATCTGGTTACTCCACACCGTTATCAACTGTAACCCTGACGCCTGCTCCTCAAGCGCAGATGACAGGAATAAAACACCCGTATCCTGAGAAATAATTAATTAATTAATTATTTGTTGTAATTAATTAACTGGTTGTGATTGTTGTGCAGTTATTGGTTGATTGCTTACATGATACATCGTTTGATTGGTACATTTTTATGATAAAACATGAGAGAAATTAGGGGGGTTGGTGTTTTAGATTCAAATGAGGAAAACACAACTTGGTGGACATTTATTTGAGTTTAAATCCGATCTATTCCAAATGTTTCACTTGTTTGAAATATAATGCTTATAATGCTTGTCAGTTGAGCAGTTTTCTGAGGAAACAAGCAACAACTAATTATTTATACAAGATAAATATCAATACAAGATAGAGACATGATGTAAGTATTAAGTACGTGCCCCGCCGCCCCCGCTATATCTATACATTCTTTGTGACGTAATCTGCCACGAAGTGGTCTGTTGAAATATGTGGTTTCATAAAACCTTCTTCAGTAGTTGAGTAGCAATTTTGATGATGAAATACTGAAGATAGTGACAAAACGTGACTCACATTTCTTGACGTCATACTATTCCCAATACACAATATTCACATATGCATACCTACTACATATCCTCGTAATTTATTCAGACTTGTTTAAAATACGTTCAACTCACACCAACACTTACCAAGAAATGTTAAGCATGAAGAAACATGGATCTAAAATCTAACACCAAACCAATCTCCCCAGACACTCAAAATGTCTATAATGAATTCAGAATACCGTTATACTCTCAACTAATCCGTACCTGCAAACACCCTTTCAACAACTCAACGATGATGTGTACACTCGTGTAACATATAATATATTCATATTGACACCCAACATAATATATAATGAACGAACTAATATATACGGTCAATCATCCCTTATAAGGAATTACAAATATGTAGATGGTGGACCGGACCTGTATTATTTGTAAGCAGGTCGCTGGTATATCGCCCCGATAATGTGTGTAAGTGCGGTAACTTTTCAATCATCAAATTGGTTATCTTTATCTCGTGCTGTGGCGTGTGGGTAGTTTGGTGATGTCGCTATAAGTAGGGTTTGATGCACTGGCCACTGAGAGGCAAGGTATAGAACGTTTGGTGTAAATTCAGGGAGTAGGTCCTCTCTAGGGTTCTCATATTGTAGGTCAAATACCGGTGACCACAGAAGATACAAACAATTCCTGCCTTTCAATTCCTTCTAATTCGATAAAATGAAAAATATTTCTTATGATTAACTTTATTTTCTTCTCCATTTACCACGACAAGTGACACCATGGAGTCAAAATAAAAACAAAACAAACTCTCTAAAAGTACAAGGTGGCCCATAATTAACATACAATAACGGACACATCTTGTGAAGTAGATGCTGTGAGCCTGACATGTTAACGTTATGTTAATTCTGGCCACCTTCTTATAGTAGACTTCATCATATAAATTTATTTTGAACTTAGTAACAATTTCAGGGAATAAATAGAAATTTAAGATTTCATTTCTATTCTAATATTCACGTATATTAAATACAACTATATTGTTATGTATCATATGATTTTGTAAACATTGGCCGGTGTACCAAAAACCGGTCCCCAAACAAACACCTTTTACTGTGAGACTTGTAAATAACTAGCAATCTCTCCAGTTTCAGTTATAGTAGATCTCAAAAAAGACTTAATAATTAATATCTCTGCAGTGTTGAATCTAAGTAATCAGAATTACCTTCGCATGGAGACACAATTTTAAGTTAAGTTAATTAATCAATTCACTACCAGACACCAGTTATGTAGTGTTTAGTGTGATAGTTTCAAAGTTACCATGTTTGAGTGTTCAACAGCCCTTACCATGGGGATCAGCTGATATCAGGCAATATTCCCAATCAGCAGAACAGTCCTGCTCGACACGTGACCTCCTCGTGATACCCTTACGTGACCTCCTCGTGATACCCTCACGTGACCTCCTCGTGATACCCTCACGTGACCTCCTCGTGATACCCTCACGTGACCTCCTCGTGATACCCTTACGTGACCTCCTCGTGATATCCTCACGTGACCTCCTCGTGATACCCTCACGTGACCTCCTCGTGACACCCTCACGTGACACCCTCGTGATACCCTTACGTGACCGTCAAGTGCGAGGAGGTCTCTGGTAAGATACCCACGACCCCACGTGCATACACTATCAGTCATGTGACCGGCACAGGTGATCAACTTATGGATTCTTAGGCCGCAGGGGGATATCAGAACTGAAAGCCATGCTTTTCTATTTAGCAATTCTATGGTAAAATGGTGCCCAGGGAGGTTATCAAAATTAGTGGTACCAACTACCAGTCAAATACCAGAAATATTTAATGTTCACAAGCAGGCCCAATTAGGGGTATTCGTATTCTTCAGAATCCAATAATTGCAAGTGTTAACAGCTTTAATGAACTTAATCAGACATCGCTGCCAGTAATCATTTACAACGATTTTAAAACTTCAAAAGTGAGTTTAATAATGGTTCGTTGAATCAGTTGCAGTTTAAATTAAAAACTTTACATGGTAAAGCAGCTTTAACCACCAATTACAAGAAATTGAGATCTGAATATCAAATTTGGTGGAGAGACATATTAGGGGTCGTTCACATATTACGTAATCACTTTTGGGACTATTTTTAACCCCCCTCCCCCCTCCGTTATCAGTTTTACACGTCATAGCAATTGTGTCAAAATGACACTAGCGAAATCATTTGGAAACCCCCCTCCCCCTCGGTTGATTACGTAATATTATGTGAACAGCACGTGACAGAGGGTTGGATCGGTAAATAGTGGAAGCTGATTGGTCCATTACTATCACGTGTCAAATAATACTCCGCACCAGAAACCACATCTATAATATATTATATCAGTCACTACACTTCTCTATTAGTGAAGTGGTAACCGCACACTAACACACCTGCTCCCCAGTCATATGAGATATTATTATGTGTTTAAATACAGATATACTTCTTTTACATGTGGTATATACTGTTAGTCTGTACACTGTACACTGTATACACTGTATACAGTATATACACTGTACACTGTATACACTGTATACAGTATATACTGTATACACTGTATACACTGTATAATACACTGTTAGTCACGTCTGTTACATCGCATGAAGTGAGCCCCTAATTATTACTGCTAATTATTACCTAACATCAAATGTTTTGATGTTTTGATCGACAAACAGGTAAAATATATCTCAGTTTGTTCTGTGACGTCATTGCCAAACTTGTTTTATTTTGTAGTGTTTTAACACATGAAGAATGAAGATGGCCTCTTTTTATTACTGACAATTACATTTTCTTCTCACTTTTACGCATATCAAACAGGTAAAATAGTTAATGATACAGAGGTAAGAGGTAAGAGGTAAGAGGTAAGAGGTAAGCGGTTAGAGGTAAGAGGTAAGAGGTAAGAGGTAAGAGGTAAGAGGTAAGAGGTAAGAGGTAAGAGGTGCCATTTTATCTTGGCAATGATCTAGACATTTTGAACAAGACAACTAAATTCTCAGCTGACACCTCGTAAATACATGAGCTTTTGACGCACAGTTAATAATGCAATTAATGTGTACAGATAGTTTCAAGATAAATGGTTAGATCTGCTCAAATAGTTTACAAATATTTACGATATGTACTTAAATATTACAAATATGTATTCAAATACAACGTCTTTGTATAACTGCACGATGGTGGACCGTGGACCAAGGTCCAAGACGTGTCAAATTTCTAGAAAATATTTGTGTAGCACGCACAACATATAACAGCAAAATTCTCTGAAATGTCCGATTGAAAAGAGTCCAGTTACACTTCTTGGTAATTTTCAGATTTTCGTAATTTCTCAGAACAAACTGTGCCCTCGGTCAAGTTCCCAACTCAATAATAAATGTTACATATTTTAATTAGTTACTGAATAGTGAATATCAGTCAAGTTTTGAGTACATATTGTCATCAAGATGCTCTTACAGAATGATATGTGAGTAGTGTTATACTGATAGTATGGAGCTGTGTTACGAGTTATAATATTCATAGCCATTACTTGAGGATAAAGGGTAGGTGCTATAATAGTAGTATTTTAGTAGTATACCTAGTATAAGTATTGTAGTATTATAGTATTATTTCAGTATGTATTTTAGTATTATATTAGTATTATAGTAGTATTGTAGTAGTATAGTATAAGTTTTGTAGTATCATTATAGTGATTATATTATAGTACTATTTTATTATGTATTACTATTGTAGTATTATATTAGAATTTTCATGTATTAAATATTGTATTACACACAAAAGAAGTATTTTAACACGCATGTGTATTGTCAGGACATCTCGTGAAATAATATCATGTGAACATATGAATAAAATATAAGTATACAATTATACAATAATACAAAATGATGTGATATGCGGGATAATAAATAAAATAGGCATTGTAACAATATAGTTATTACGGGGGGGGGGGGGGCTCTTGTTGTTTTTGTCCATGAGGCCCCCCCCCCCCCCCCCTTATACACATCCAAATTGTGGGAGGGGGGGTAGCGGTCATCGCCATTTTTGACAAATCTAACAAATAAAAATTTGTAGAATGATAAAGTCAGAACACATGACCACAGGTGAAATGATATGTACATACCTCGCACAGTGCCACAATGTTGTGTAATATACATCTCTACATTCCGGACAAATATGTACATGTTTTGACTTTTGTGTAAGCCTGATTTTAAAGTATTACCAATAATTGGTACTTTTACTCTCGATGATACATGAAGTGAAATGTATTATTATATTGAATTAACTAGTTAATGGGTGATCATGAAAACAACTCAACGTCAGCGAAAGCTCGTCATAATTATCTAATTAAAATTATCTCATTAAATTCAAATCTGGTATATTATTATTATATACTATATAATATTGACGTGTTTACTTCATGTTAACTTTCGAAGACAAAATAAAAGAGCAGTGTAACAAGCCAGACTGTGATCAGACAGTTCAGTTTGCTTTT